GCCCAAAGGCGTTTATGATAACCACTACAATGATCATGTCTCTGAACCAGAATGTGTAACTGTATCTGTCCCGGCTGGCCATAGCGTCCACATGGACATCCAAGTGAGACATATCCAGGTAGACTCCTACTTGAGCTAGTGGATGCAGAAAGATATTGAGGATTTTTGGATGCTGGGGAATCGCAAAGAGACTTTTGGTAAATTTTCGATTCTTGGTCTTGATATTGTATGTGACATTTTGGATTTACCCACATGTGGGTATTGCTTCCATTTGAACATACCTCTGCGTAGTTGATGTTCCACTATATAACTAGATATAGACAGTAGTATCAAGATATCTAGCGTACTGCGAGTAGGTGATTGTAACGCTGGTGAAGTCAAAGTTCACCGTCGTGAAGTTTTGAGTTGATGCCACAATATACCTACGTTATGATCTATGAGCACATTGCAAGAGATAGGTTCCAAGTGCCTGTTGCTAAGGCGAGACCTTGAAACAAGAGGTGTATTCTTGATGGCGAATTCTCCCGTATATCTCCATCTAAGATAGTCCATCGGAATCAAATCCTCTATATGAGATGCGAACTAGGGCCGATATCGAATGGCGTAGGTGTGGATCTCAGGAAGGATTCTAACTTGTTCCGAGGTCATCCTTCCGGGGGTACGTGTCGTGTGGCTTTGCCAAGGCGATCTCCACAAACGCCTCATTTTGAACGTGAGTTTCACATTTCCCAGTATATCTGCATGGACATTGTACGGACAATAAAGAGTAGCTCGCAAACATGTACTTCAATTCAGTTTTCATGTTTGTTGACCCCAGAATAATAACTTGCCTCGCGTGCTCACCTACTATGTTTGTCTTGGCGGGGGCGGGAATATCAGATTAGAGATATTCTGCCCTATGAGGATAGACAGACCTGCAGATCTTTTTTATCCAAACATCCATTTGGCCACACAATGCCTTGGCACGTGTGAGAAGTGGAGTTTCGGAGTGTTCCAAGGGTCTTGGCCCCCTGGAGCCTCTCGAGGCTTTATTCTTTTCTCGAAGCTCCTTTTCTGTCACTTCTTTCTTTCTTTCTTAACTTAATAGGGAAATTGTTGTTTAGTCAATTCAGGTACAATATTCTTGCATGATTTAACGAATCCCAGTGTTCTTATATATATCATGAAACCTGCTTGGCAGCTGCAAGGGGGTTTCGGCCAGCGGCTGCGCGGGAAGCTTGAATCTGCAGCCGCTGTCGCCCTCACAATCGCCAGATCCCCCCAGGCCCATCTTGACCGTGGCTGGACAGCCTGTCGCGCATATTTCTTTTCGGTCATCTTCATTTCCATCCTGCTTTCCAAAATCTTCCATATCTACGTCCATCTCAATTCGCTCACGGTTTTCTCCCTTCTCGCATGGGGCCCCACATTCTTTTTCCTCGATATCGTCCTCGTGCTGGGCGCACGTGGCGTGGCCCGATCGTACGAATGGCGAACGTTTCGGGATATAGCAGCTCTGTGCACTGTGTTATCCAGGTAGATCACTCGGCTTCACAGGCAAATAAGTGAATTGCTAATTATCTCCCAGTGCATATACCTCATCGATGATTTCCGCCAACCTATCCTATTATATCCACAAGGGCATGGAGATCCATTGGCGCCTATCGAATGATTTCCACAAGGATAAGCCTTCCGCCGTACTTGTTTTGTCGGCCCTGTTCGTTGCTATCCTTCTCGAGACGTCAATTTTAATCGGTGCATTCTATGCCACGCCCTATCTATCTCGGGCGACGGGAGCTTTCCTGAGGATCTGGGGTGTAGTGCTGTCCGCGACATACCGTTACTTCCGTCCGAATAAGGAAGCTCTGCCACACCCAGATACCTACGAACAAATTGCAATCGATGACTTTGACATCGGTGATGACAACAGCGACTCCGTATCGCTACTGGATGCACCCCAAGACCCGCCTGTGCAGAAGAGTCGGGCGTTGTTGAAGCCCGCTATCGTTGTATCATGCAGCGTAATTCTACTTTGTCTCCGTGTCATTCGTCCCAGCAATGTTGTTTACAGTTTCCTCTCTGGGTCTCTTCCTCTCGCGCCGTTTGGCGGCCTCAAATTTGGGTCTTCTCAGCGAAGTGTCGCATCCTTGCCGGGCGATTTCAGCTGGCTAGAAGGCAAAACTGCCCTAGACTCCTTCCCGACATTTGACTGGTTACATACGGGCGATGCGGCAACTGCCTTCCCGGATTGGTCTCCTTTCCGCATCAATCACTTCAACAATACTGAACCTGAGGACTATTTGTATGAACACTACAACCCGATGAAAGATCCTTTGCACTTTCCCAACCTCCAGAATGACATCCTAGAGTCCATCCGTGATGTGCTCCACAGCGGAGACATGAAGATCAAGCATGTTATGGTCATCAAATTGGAGAGCAATCGGCAGGACGTCTTTCCCTTCCGCTCCGACTCTTACATTATGGAGCACATCAAAAACTCCTATAACGGAAAAATCCCCGACGAGATTATGGGTAAACTCGCCAATCTCACTCCCACTGCCGAAAGGTTCACCGGATTTGAGACTGGGTTCAACAAGAACGAGGACCGTCCAACCCCTTATGGTAGCCTCAGCGCCAAAAATGCTTACACGTCCGGTACATACACCATGAAGAGTCTTACAGGCACTATGTGCGGTGTGAGCCCCATTGCTATTCAAGGCAACCTTGAGTATCTGCACGATATTTACCAGCCTTGCCTGCCGCACATATTCAACGCATTGAACTCACAATCAAACATTACCAATGAGACTGAGGACTGGACCTCTTGGCCATGGCATTCTATGTGGATGCAGTCCCACTATGGCACCTGGGACCACCAGGATGGGCTTACTCCTGCCATGGGATTCAGAGATATCACAACAAAAGAATCAATCAATGAAAACGGTGCTAAATACATACCAGAGGAGCCAGAGGAAGAACAGAAATATGGTCATCCAGATCACACACTGAAGAACTATATGCGGGATGCATTTGCCGAGGCTAAGGAGAACAACACTCGCCTCTTTATCGCCCATCTAACTCACAATACCCATACTCCTTGGTTTAAACCCGGTGATTATGAGGAGTACTTCGGGAATGGCCATGGTTGGAACAACATGCTGAACCGGTACCTAAATACCCTCAAGTATCAGGATGATTGGCTGGCCACCATCCTTGAGATTCTCGAAGAGGCTGGAGTCATTGACGAGACCCTGCTTGTCATGGCAGGCGACCAGTAAGTTCTATCACTCTATATCCTATCAATTCTTCCCTAGATATTTTCCTTGCGTTCTCCCAGAGCACGAGAAGGCAGGACGGAAGGACAGTCACTAACTCGATTGCAGCGGTCTATCTCTTCCAAATGATGGTGGTGTAACGGCCAACCATGACCCCCACGTCGGGAGTTTCCATGTCCCCCTGCTCGTCGCCCATCCCAAACTACCCGCAGTAGAAATCAGCAGCGCCGTCATATCGACTCAAATCCTCCCCAGTATCCTCGATATTCTGATCGAAACCTCCTCTATCAACGAGCAGTCAGCACATATATTGAAGGACCTGCTCCCCTTATACGAGGGCCAGTCGCTACTACGCCCACTTATCCCCGAGCAAGATAAGAAGCAAGAATGGCATTTCTCCACAATGAACCCTGGAGGAACGTGGATTTCCATGCGAGCGGCCACAAAACCGTACCGTCTCGTCGTGCCGCTTATCCCAGATGCCCCGTGGCGATTCACCGATGTCGTCGCCGACCCACTCGAGTTCCATCCCGAGGAAGACATGAATATCGTGTCTTTGTATGATGCTGTGCAGACACGTTACGGGCCAGACGCCGCGATGTGGGTTAGCGAGGCCGCCCATATCTCCCAGTGGTGGATTGCGGAGAACCACCGACGCTGGAAGTTTAGTCCCGACGACCCGACGAGCTGAAGTCCCCTAGGGCGAAGTCATATATTCAGCCAGAAGCAGAAACCTGGTGCTAGATTCTGGTGAGGTACCCGCCAAACGAGTAACACCTACCCAGCAGGACAACTTCCGGAAACTGCACCACCCACCACCTGCACATGTACATAATACGGTGTCTTCTGCATCCGGCACTATGTGTTCAATATTGCACATAGGGGCGTTTTCGAGTTGTCGATTTCTCGAGGAATGGACCCATTGAGCAGACCGTCTAGCCGATACCACCGCAACGATCGGAAGACCTTTTGCATTTCTTCACCTACAATTTTACGATGCCTTATTCGATTTACTAAAACCATTGTTCATCTGTTAGACGCGATTTTGAGTATCGCAGTGCATAGCGACCACGCGGGGGTTTGATCCTTTTGGCTCTGGGGATCCATCGCTTGTATATATCCCTTTCGATGTAATTTCTAGCATTTTGGAATAATACATACTACAATTCTTCTATCATTCTTCTAATGTGATGTTTTTATCTATTAACTTGAAGTCGGTCAATTATTAGGCGCGAACTATAGAACACTCTGGTGCCCATACCTCGCATTCCAATGGGTATATATGGTGAGATCGTTCGCATATCGTTCAGTAGTCTTGCAATCCGGTATTTATTGGCTAGAGACAACCTGCCCTGTAAAGAACAGATTCCATAGCATCAGAATGCGCACTCAAGATTCTGAGCTTATGATTTTACGGAATCCATCACACGGGGTGTGGTCGTGTGTTTATCGTTCGTAGTTCGCATGAAAATTGAAAGCAATGTTACAAATCTCGTATGGGACCTAGCTAATGGAAGCTCCAATATGGGGAATAAGATGCCAGCAAACCGATGCTATTTGGAAATGGCTTTGACCCAAGGGATCGTTCCTCCATAGGACACATATCTCGGTAGTGGCATAGTCTCTCTCTGGTTCCACATTAGTGTCTACATACGGAAGAATATTGCCTCCTCATTAACCACCAGACAGGTTTGTGGATTCATTTGGTGATTCTAGGTAGAGGCGGTTCTATTGTGATAGCACACGTCACTCGTCAAGCGAGATTTGGGAATATGACCTGTTCACCATTGCCACTTCCGGCGCAGTGCTTTCTGTAGTCCCACCTCGATGTGAGACAACACCCTGTGCCCTCTTTCCCCGATCCCAGCCTGGATTTGAATTTGACAAACCCATGGCAGATGCGAAGGGCGAGGCCCAAGAAGACATCTGAGGAGGGAGATCGGAACCTGTGGACCTCGTGCGCCTTTCGTGCGCCGCCTCGATCAAGTCCACTATATCATCCCAACCGCACTCCTCAGCCAACTCCAACGGAGTGTACCCATATTCCCCACTCGCATCAGGATCCAGGCCGGCATCATTCAGTAATAACTCAACCACCTCTCGTCGTCCTGCCTCAACGGCGATGAGGAGTGGAGTGCGTCCCTCTTGGTCTACTCCTCCTGGGGAAGCACCCGCGGTGAGGAGGGCTTCTGCAACTTGCACATGGCCATTTTCCACGGAACGCATGAGCGGCGTCATCCCATCCTTGTCCTCAGCGTTCGCGTCAGCACCTTCCTCTAGAAGTATCTCTACGGCTGTCAGCCCCCCGCTTTCTGCGGCACGGGAAAGAGGGGTTTGGCCATTACTATCCCTACACTCAAGGTCAACCTTCCTTGTTGCGAGGAGTTGGTTCACAATAGTCGGGTAACCACCCCAGGCAGCCCATAATAACGGCGTGCGTCCTTCGTCATCCGGTGCATTGACGTCCACCGTGTGCACGGTAAGCAGACTTTCAACCGTGGTGGTATGGCCACGTCCAGACGCCCATGAAAGAGAGGTTCGGCCAGTTTCATTTCTATGGTTGCAATCCGCCCTTCCATCGAGAAGGAGTAATTCGATGACGTACGCATGCCCTTCTCGCGCAGCAAGAGATAAAGGAGTTTCCCCCTTGGCATTGGTGGAGTTCGGGTCGACCCCTGGGGTGGCAAGTAGGAGCTTGACCACGAAGTCGCGTCCGTATTGAGCTGCTACTGCGAGTGGTGTGTTGCCGCTGCCTTGCTCACGTAGGTCTGGGTCAACTATGGAAGTCTGAAGTAGTCGTTCTACTACCTCTGCACCGCCGTTTTGTGTAGCAAGAGACAAGGGTGTTTGACCGGAAGAGTTCATGGAGTTAGCATCAACTCGGGGAACTTCCAATAGGAGTTCGACCACGGATGTGCGTATCCAGAATGCGGCGAGCGAGAGAGGGGTCTGTCCCTTCCTATCCTTGTGGTCAGGATTCACGCGACTATCAGCGAGAAGAAGGCGCACGGCATTTTCATGCCCTTCCCAGGCAGCGACTGATAATGGGGTCTGACCCCGGATGTTTTCGGCGTTCGGATTGACTTTTTGATGACCGAGAAAGAGAGACACCACCTCCTCGTGGCCATATTGTGCGGCAGAGAACAATGGCGTGCGCCCATCTTCATCCCGATGATCAGCATCAGTGCCATATTGCAGGAGGAGTTTCACCACGGCGGCATAACCATTCGATGCTGCGCGAGAGAGCGCTCTATTTCCAGTACGAGGAACCAAGGGAGCACTGTGGGTTAGCAACAGCTCCACGGACCCAGCATGTCCCTGCCCTGCTGCCGATACGAGTGGAGTTTCCCCGTGGCCATTCTCGAAATCAATATCAACTTGGTGAAGTAGAAATGCCTTGATTACCGCTCTATCCCCGTTATGCGCAGCTGCGCATAGTGGTGTTTGTTTTTCATGATCCATGTGGTTGAACTCTACTCCACGGCCCATGAGCAAGTCCACAATCTCCCCGTGTCCATTATATGCAGCCAGAAACAAGGGAGTTTGGCCCTCGTCATCCTGCCGGTCTGCATCAACCAGGTTATTCTCAAGCAATGCCACCACGACAGCAGCATGTCCACGCGCAGAGGCCCAATGCAGAGGCGTTCGACCAGAACTATCCTTCACGTCCGGTTGGAACTTGCGAAGCAAAAGCCTCGCCGTCTTCTCAAGTCCAAAGTAGGCCGCAACATGAAGTCCAGTCATTCCGTGCGGACTGCGCTCACTACGTACTTGACTCCGTTCAGCAAACATGGCCTGAGCCGCGCTAGATACGCACTTCTCATGCTCCAGAAGTTTCAGGACCAAGGACGTCTCCTCAAATAATGCATCCCGTACGTGGTAGCCCCAATTTCGCGACGCGTAATCATACAATGCATATTGGTCCAGGCGGGCCTTGAACTCGGTGCCTGTCGCGCAGGCTCCACTATCAAAGGAAGTGAATGTCAAATACCTAAGAGTAGTTTCCGCAATCCTTTCGTGTGCATCATGGAACCATTCCTGCCATGTCCGTTCGAAATATTGCTGCGTTGTGTAGTGAACCAAGCGGATTGTCCCCCGTTCCCCGTCCACAATGACCAATCCTTTGCATACACTGACAAGCAGCCCGATGTCCGGGATGCTCAATATATCAAACTCTGTGTGTTTTTCTTTCACTGCTAGTGCATGCTGGAGCTCAGTTGCGAGGAGTAGTCGCCGACTACAGCAAATCCAAGACAGGACTTTTAAAGCGAGTTCGCGCAAGCCTTGCCGTTGGCCGTAGATGTTGTTCATGGCTTCCAGGTACGATTTATCGTATCCGTCAAAGCCTCTGGGTAAGGTCTTGAGCGTGTCCTTTATGTCCCTTATGGATATTTTATCCATCAATGAGATCAAGTGGAGCTTCGCTAGGAGAAACCTATTTACTCTCGTTAGCCTTCCAGATATCATGAGAGGGCTATTTATGGCCCACCTACATTCCGTCAATTGCCTCAATGATTCCTGTTTTGATTTCATCCTCCAGCCCGGGGGTCTCGGACACAAAGGCGGGTAATTCCCCAATGTGCGAGCCTAAGTACTGCACAACATCCCCTTCTGCCGCCCTGATATCGATCAGTATACTATCCTTGAACTCGCCTGCAATCTCCGGGACGAAACGAGAGGTTGCAAATATGTTAATTCCAGTTCTTCCTTGAAAAGCAAAGAGTTCTCTAACCAGCTGCTTCGGGGGACTTTCAGAGGTGAGCAACTCGTCGAGAGCGTCAAACACGATGAAGGTCCTTTCAAAACGAGCGACTGTATCTTGAAGGACTTCCACTATTTCACGAAAGCTCGGCCGGCTGCCAGTTCGTTGGTGGCGATCATACATACTCTTCACCATCTCGGGCGTGTATGATAGCTGTCGGACAAGCTGCCTCAGTAGGCTCAGAAAGATAGAGTTGTGGGTTTGCTCGGCTTCATTCTGAACGCTACAGTATATGCATGCAATCCCTACCGCAGGATTTACCTCAAACCGTGATCGAAGACCGTCCACTACCACTGCGGTCATAACCGTCTTTCCAGCACCGGGCATGCCTCTGCAGTAGATGGTTTTGTTGCGTTCAGCCACCCATGTTTCGAAGCCAAGGGTCTCCAGGAGCCATGTTCCAGTTCCCTCTTGGCGTTGACGTAGGATATCGGTTTGTTCAGAGCCGTAGTCCTTTGGGGATAGCCATACAAGCAGCTCGTGTTCCTGGGTGGTACTTATTGATGAGTTGATTATGGATACACCCGTTTGGATATTCGATAACACATCCATTACTATCACCATAGTCAGTCGACGCCTTGTTCATTACCTATACTAAACTAGGGAGACTATAAAGCAGCTAACCTTCTTTCATTTCCACAACCTTCGCCGCATGAATCTCCTGCGGAAGAATCACACGAAGCAGATCTTTGGCATATGCAGCAGCCGTCACCGCCGCATAGGGCTGCCAGATATCGTTTTTGTGCGTGTCCGAGTAGTCACTGATTCCCCGGATCACCAAGCACGGGAAATTGTCCATTAGCCCTGCAGCCTCCATCTCAAAACATGCCACATTCCAGGCCTTACGCAGTTCATCCCGATACCGAGGATCCTTTATGACTGCGTTCCCCGACGCAATCAATCCATAGTGCACCACGGGCGCATCGGATTTCCTGGGTGCGCGGGTCTCCGTCGAATTGGTGTCGCAGCGTGTACAGTCTTCTTCTCCGTCCTCGTGGTCATAATCCACTCGATATAGACGGTCATTATCCCTGCCCGGGTGTTGATAGGCTTCGAAGATTTCCGATGTCTCCGACAGCTGGCCGATACGGGCGATGTAGCGATTCATCTCTCCCCTGCCGAATGGATGATCTGACCGTAAGAGTTTCATTGCAGTTAACAGAAACATCGGCGGTTTGTTCAGATGGGACCTCTTGTGAAGCTTCCCATCCGCTTTCCGCTGCCCTAAATCATAGTGTACCACTCCGCCTAATAGGGTCAGCCACCTATTATTTTATTTGTCTCAGAACCATTCCCGTGGGAAAAAAAGAAAACACAAATACCAGCTCACCTTCATCACCCTTCGGCTCGCTAACAACCACATCCCCCAATCGCATATCCTCACCAGGCCTTCCAAACCGCGCCGGATTCGGCGCCGCACCCCCAATCCCCACCATCAACCCGAACCGCAGATTCCGAAATGTGCGTATCATATTCGTAGCTGTTTGTGCCGCTGCGCCGACCCCGTATACCGCTGGGAATGCAATGATCACGTTATGTCCCCCCATTTTTCCAAGGAGGTAGGCGTTATCATCCTTCTCGGCGGCAGGGAGCCTCTCGTGTTCCTCATCCAGCAACGCTCGGGAAGCGTTCAGCTCGCATTCTAGGACGCATACCCATCCGACGGTATAGTCATCGTGGGTGAGTTTTATTTGGCCCATGGGGACTAAAGGGTCCTCAGTGAGAACAGGGAGCTCTGTTTTATCTGGGAGTTCACCTGCGGGGAATTAGTGGAGGGGTCAAGGTGTTGGCTAAGAAGGAAGCGTCAGCCTCCATTTTGGGAGTAGTCTAGTGGCTAGGTCAGAGGGCCAAGAGACAGTTAAGAAATTTATTAGGTGGATTCGAGTAAGAGTTTTCCTCATTCGAATCCGAAAAGAATCTTGGAGGATCTATTCGAATTCAAAAACATTGTGCGGTGTAGTCGTTCGTATTCGAAATGCGGATATTCGACAGGTCATACGAGCCCTTGAATTCGCCGAAATGCATGAAGCACAGCTAGGGAAAATATAGCGGAAATACTTCACACACCACATTGGAAGCACTTTATACGGGCCACCCGTTTTGAGCTTCCACTTTGCCATGATCAACCGTGAAGACAGATTCTGGTCCGAAGGCCATAACTACCGCGGCCCGAGCGACAACCCCACCACCGAAACATATTGCAACGTCTGGGATTGGGATCAACTTCGGATGGTCAAGATTAAAGGCACCGCCAAAATATTTCCGCCCGAAAAGGATAGGGAGCTCTCGATTTTGGCGCGATTCGCCGATTATCTATCACCGGACGTTCGTGCTATCACAGTCGACGACGATGGGCTCCTTACTAGGGTTTCGACAAATCTGGAAGAGGACGATACTCTATTTCTTGCATATATTCCTTTCTCACTCTGTGGATCGCTGGCCGATTGCCGTACAATTCAGTACTCTAAGCTCCAAGAGCTTGACCGGCTTGGACCGTTCATTGATCTTATATCGTATGAAAACGAATCCGGGATTCCCCAGAAGGTTATTTTTAAGTTTAACGTCTTGAACAAGCCTTTGAGAATACAAATGGCCTGGGATGAACTGAACATTCTCAATAGACTACCGCCACATCCTAATATAATACCATTCGATCGCGTTGTCCTTGAAGACCAGGAGTCCCGGGTGATTGGGTTCACAACGAAGTACATCCCAGGTGGAACTCTCGCCAATCTAAAGATCCTTTTTCGATTTGAGTGGCTACAACAGCTTACTCAAGTCGTGGATTTTCTTAACCTAGAGCTAGGGATCATGCACCAAGATATCGCTCCTCGAAATCTGCTGGTCGATCCTTGCACACATAAGATCGTCCTCTTCGACTTTGATCGGGCTGCATCCGGAAAGAAACGGTTATACGAAGGTCGAGATGATGTTACTAGTGTCGTCTTCACACTCTACGAGCTTATCACAAACGATACATCCTTCTCGGGTATCCCCCACTCGAATCGACATATAGACATAGTGCAAAATATCTCGGAATGGGTTGTTAATCGCGAACTTGACTCTGACGTATCGAAGTTTCGCAACTTTTTGAGCGAATGGGTAGCAACACGAAGATCCAACAGGGATATGGAACGGTATCTCAATGCACCACACCGATTTACATGGCCCGACCCACCAACAGCGCCCGACTACAGTGTACCATTCGAGATGGGCACAACCTGGGATGGAAAGTCAAACTGGATGACTGGCCATCGGTCCAGATTCACCGCAATGAAGCTGGGGCAGTATTGCTTTCCCTGGCAGAGGCGACCACAGAGCCGCTCGTTGATCGAGGCTGAGAATAGTGTATAGTCGATCATGGAAAGCTATTTGTGAAAGACAGTGCTTAGCCACAATGAATCAAGGTGCCAGCCTCATATCTCAAGTAAATGTAGCCTTCGACGTGGACTCGCTGGGCCATGTTTGGTCATTCTATTCTCAGGTCTTGCGTCCAGAGGTAGGGTTAGATAACCTTCCCACTCATGACTACTTGTCCTTGTAGTTATTCATCTCTTTTCCGGGTGAGGTGGATGAGCTCAGTCTTCTCCCGTCCACTCGCCAGCGGAAGTAGTCGTCGGTGGAGGCTGATGCGCCACCGTTGTAGTTTTAGCATTCTCGGGAATGTCCCCAGTTGCACAGACCGAGTGCAGAACTACGGGCTAGACGGTATGATATAGTATGATATAACATAGTATATAGTATATAGTATGATATAATAAGTATATAGTATATAGTATGCGTTAAACGCTAGGAAACCTTGTCTGAGTTCTTTTCCTCTTCGGGTCATGTGGAGACCTCCGGGAGATTCTGTGTTCGCACGTCACCTCTTCACTCTTAACATATTCTTCCTCTCCAGCTCTTCAGCTAGCCTTGGATTCAACTGTACTCTGCGCTCTTAGCCTCTAGCTTCGAGCTCACAATTATGTTCAAAAAGAAGCCAACGGTAAATAACCCCACTACCCCTCCAAACTTTGTGTGCTCTGCAAAGAACTCTATGCTAATATACAATAGATCAAAAATCTTTCTCCACTACGGTCTTCCGATCGTAGAAAGATTGCTGATCAAATTATCAAGGATTATCAGATCCCCGTCTCCTCAAACTCCAAAACAGACTCTGCGCCCAGCACAGCATCCACCCCCGCTTCGAACCTTACATCGATCCGAAATGCCATCCTGCCCGATAATACTCAGACTGCTCGTTTCACAACCACCGCTGGCCCAGATCTTCGCGAGCTTCAAGGGATCGTGTATGTTGGCACACATCCCGACGGCGATGAGCGGGTGCTGTGGTTCAAGCTGGAACACGGCCCGGGGGCCGACAAACGACTATACCCAACTGTCTATACACTATGGCAGAACCCGAATTTAGTTCCTTTACTCTACACCCCGGAGTTCGTGATGGGAAAGCTCCATAGTGGAGCTGACCTAATGACACCGGGCCTTGCGAATGAGCCTCCCTTCCCCGAAAAGGCGGTCAAGGGCGCCGTTGTCGCGGTCGCGAGTATAGACAGCCATACAGTGCCACGTTTTGTAGGCATATGCGAGATTGATGTTTCGGCATTGGGAGAGGTGCAAGGCACGAAGGGCCATGCGGTCCGTGGATTGCATTGGGAGGGCGATGAACTTTGGGCGTGGAGCTCTGCGTCACTACCGGGTCGCCCAGCTCCAGAGTACTTGGAGGGTTGGGACGAAGACGAAACTGAGGGATTGGAGGAACAACTAGAGGAGTTGAAAATCGACGATGATGGGGCTACAACCGCCTCGGGGGGCATTGAAACACCAAGCAATGACCCAGCTGCGGCAGAAGAACCAGTAGCTGAAGATGAGGCACCAACAACGGAGGGTGAGCCATCTCTCTCCTCCTCTTTATCAGCCAGCAGTTGGATTTTGAGATGTAACCAACCAAGTACTAACAAATAACAGAACTTGATAAGGCGTTTGTCAATGCTTTCGTCTACGCCCTCTACAAGCTCAAACAGGATAACCCATCGGCGACCGACCATGGCCTTCCACTGCCAATCACAGCTTCGGCATTGATAGCTAACTTCACTGCTCCTTATCTTCCTGTGTACACTCCCCAACAGGCCCAGCATTACAACATCAAGAAAACCAGCTGGAAGAACGTCAAAAAGTTCATGAAACATCTAGACAAATCGAAGCTCGTCAAAACCAAGGAACGTAATGGTCAAGAGACTGTCATTTTGGATGTGGACTTTGAGGACCATCGAGTACAGCGATTCGTGCCATACAAACTGCCTTCCCCCCGTGCCCTGGAGAACAGCAAAGCGGCCGCACCTGAGGGCAAGAAGTCGGCAGCAACAGATGATTCCGACCCTTCAGTGGGACAGACGATCACTGTGCAAAGTCTATATCGGCCATCAGGAAAGCTGGTGCCAAACATTTTCCCTGCCCTCTCTGCCAGCGACACAAATAACTTTTACAAATACTCCGATGTATCCAGTCATTTGGATCGATATCTTGAATCCCAAAATCCGCCGATCATCTCAAAAGAGAACCGGCGCATCATAACCCTCAACCCATTCCTCGCGAACTCCGTCTTCACTTCATCATCAACCGAAGATAAAGGGACACTTGCACGCGGCAAGGTCACTCGCGATGGTCTTTTAAAACGACTCATGGAGGATAAGACACTGCTCTCGCCATACCATGTCATTTTGAAAACCGGTCAAACTATCGCAGACGTCAAGCCAAAAGCGGGCACCGCACCGAAGGTTACTGTCACCCTCGAGAAGCGGACAGGTTCCAAGACTGTTACCAAAGTCATGACTCTGGAGGTCTTCGGCATTATTCCCAGCCTATTGGCACAGGAGCTTCAGAAGAAGTGTGCCGGTAGCACTAGTGTCACACAGGCTACTGGTGCCCCCAAGGGAATTATGGAAGTATTGGTTCAGGGCGATCAGCGAAAGGCCATCGAGACAGCCCTTGTTCGCCGTGGATTGAAGCCACAGATGATTGAGGTTGTGGATAAGACTAAGAAGAAAAAATGATCAACATGCAAATGATTATTTCTTTATATGACCGCTAGATAGAGAGCACTTTTCCTGTACAAACAATAAATCAATCACCTTCAGAATACCATGAATGAAAATACTCATGAGATGGATTAAACTACCTTCCCATATACACATTCCTCATTTTATCGCTATCAAACCATTCAAATTCCATTCATTCTTCGACCCAATGTTTAATTAGCTATCCCTCTATTGCTTCAATTGCTCTTCATAGCTCTCCCTGTCCCATTCGGCAAGTTCAATTCGCACTCGGCTTGCCTTCCATTGCCACTCCGGTTCCTATTCCCCTCTCGTGTTCCCGTATCATTGATATCACCAGTATCAACAACCTCCCAGATATCATCCTGAAACAAATACTGCATCAAAGCCTCATCCGCACGACTGGTCCCGTCCGCCATGAGCGTGTCTATTCTGTGCACCAGATCATATGTAACGAAGATCGCACCCCCGCTCGAATCTGCCGCTAGTGCCTCTAGTCTTTGCTGTTCCTCGTCTGTAAGACGATTCGCGCGGTCGGGGTTATCGGTGTAGATCTCTGTTCACCGCGTAGGATCTGCGTGACTCATATTGTATGCATGGTGCTGTGTGGGCTCGCGTATGCCGGACATGGGGGGCTCAGTACTTGGTCCTGGGTTGGAGGTATCATTGCTTTCGGTTCTATTGGTATCGTTATCCTTCGGTGCTGACATTGTGGATTTTTTTGGGTGTTGGTGGCTTTCTTGATGAGAGTATCGAATAGCTCGGAAGAAGTTTCTTTTACCGGTTTAGATGGAATTGATCGTGTGCCAGATGGACGGAGAGCGAAGAATGACGCGAGAGCTTATATAGCGCATGAGTTCGTGCTGCCTACGTGCCCCCACGCTGCTTTGTACTCCGAGGCTTCATTGGTATATGATGTCTGTACAACCTGAGATCACTATCCCAGAGTAGATTATGTAGACATGGAGAAAGCTTCGAAAATAAAGACGAAAGGATGCCTTACAATAGGTACATGAAAATAGCTAATCGATATATCCCTTAAGAGAGCCTAAAGATTGAATATTCCAATGTGTCCACCCTTTAGCTAGTCGCTATCGTTTTTTTATCCATCGTTATACATAGAAAAATTGTCCACCCTGTATCCTGTATGATATTCCGGTATTCTACTGTCTATATCATACATTTTAGAGTGAAAAGCCCGGCATATCTCTATGGCTACCCTGTGCTACTGTTTCCATTTCCAGCACTACTTCTATACCTCACTGTTACCTTTATAGCTATAATATAAAGTATATCTAGAAAGGATCTAGAAATAACGTCTAAAAGAGACATAGCGTTGGATTACATATAGCCTTGCTGCTGCTACATTAGCTAAATATAGAAAGTCCGACGACGCTTCAGTTGTGAATCTCTCTTCACTGAAAAAGACGCACAATCAAGTATTGATAAATATCTCGCCGTTCGCAATATCGATGCTGGTGACATTCATGAATCTGAAGCCCTGGTGAATGACGCCAACCCTCACATTTTCTCTCCCGATGAGCTATGACTTGTGTCTAGCTCTTCTGATGGGAAAGTCTACTTATGATATACTTTGCCGCTTTGGATGGGGCCAGCCCAGCCCATCTATGATGGCTAGCTGCATGGTTTATCCCCTTTACCGCCTTTTCAGCCTTCGAGTATAAAACTACAGGGAGAGAAAATATCTAAAAAAATACATGATAAGACCGCATGAACGGGCTATTCTTGTTCTCAGTAAATCGACATAGAGTCGGGGATTTCAACGATAACCCTAATTCGCCGACTTGCCAAGAATCCTAACACCCCTACGGAAGCAAGCTTAGCGCTGCCGATGCAGTTCGCGCTCACCCCTTTCTCTGCATACGATGTGCATCATGTCGTATCGCAGGAATGTATTTCGATTTTGGTTGCATTTAGTCACTTTCAATCGACAGATTCCTTTGTTTGCCCCGATTTTATCCTGTTCCATTGAACTGAGGGTTTGTCTACATGGGAGCAAATGAAGTCTGTGAATATGGACATCTCTTACGCTTGCATCTACGATATAATGATATTGAGCAACCCAGCAATTCCATTCATGAAGGTAAAGTATAAAAAAAGACCGAAGCAGGCCTATCGTCTCCTAGGTGCAAAATGCAAGGAGGAAAAAGAAAGGAAAGGAAATCAGTCCCAACCGAACAATCAACAAAAAGACAGGATACCCGATCCAGGTTTTAAAAGACGTTCAATAAGATACATAGAGGTAGATGTAAAGTGATCCACAACTATAAATCTAGCACTCAGAGCGAGCATTTAGTGGGACAGGGCACGGGCGTGCACCTTCTTGTCAGAGACAAGCCACTTCATGGTCGAGCGAATAACCTCAAGGAGCTTCTCGGCGCTCAAGGAGCTGAGGTATGCGGCGAAGTCGCTGGGACCCTCGGAAGATCCGGAGCCAGAGCCGGCGGATCCGGTGGGTGCAGCGGTAGGGGCAGCAGTGGCGCTAGGCTCGGAGGCGTCACCACCAGCGGCGGGAACGGAGCTCTGGGCAGATTGACCGGGGGCGCTCACGGTGACGGTGACGTCGGAGGGGCTGGCAGTCTGTGTGGTAGGCTCGTCAGTAACCTGAGAAGCAGAGGAAGCAACTGTGGTAGTAGCAATCTCGGTCACGACAGGAGCCTCGGCGGAGGTTGAGATAGCAGAAGTGGGAGCAGATGAAGGAGTGGATGAGGGGGTTGGGGTGCCGGAGGGGCTGCGGGTGGGACGGCGGGTGAAGTGCGGGTGCGAGAACGAAGAGGAGCTCTGGACAGGGGCACTCACAGTCGAGGCAGTGGTAGTAGGCGCGGTAGTGGTGGCAGCGGCGGTGGTGGTGGAGGCGGGAGCAGTGGTCGAGGAGCCGGAGGCGGCACCGGTGTACAGAGCGGGACCGGGGATCTTGTAAGAGTCCATGGCAGTGTAGATGTTGACCAGAATGCCGGGGTCGGCAGCCTTGTAGAGCTTTGTGCCGAGGACGCCCTTAGGAGTGTCGCTACCACCGCCGGTGACCTTCAGGTTGAGACACTGGGGGTAGTTCTGGGCACCGTTGGTCTCACCTGCAGAGTGCAGGCCAATGATTTCGTGACGGAGAACGTAGTTGCCAGCGGCAATGGCACTGGGGATAGTCACAGTGCGGCTGTTGTTGGCGGCAATGAGATCGTCAGATGCCCATTTACCGGGGACGTTGCTGCCGTCGATCAAACCGGCCTCATCAATCTTGAAGAACTCGAGAGTGGTCTTGTCGACCTTGGAGCAGTCGCCATTGCAGTTAGCCATGTAGGTGATGACCGGGCCGTGGTGGCTCTCGGGCCACTCGGTCCACTGCAGCTCGACAGAGCCACCAGCCTTGACCTCTGCGGAGAGAGCACCAGGGGTGGCCTCCTTGTGGCAAATAATGTCAGGGCCAGAGTAGCCAGTGGCGTCGATGAAGCCGTTGTCGGTGGCAGTCTCAGACCATCCGAAGTTCTCGGGAACCTCGGCCTGATAGTTGTAGCTATCGACGAGGAAGCCACCGTGGTAGGTACCATCAACAACAGCACCCGTCACGTAACCGTGACCAGCGACCATGGCGGCCGAGCTAAGCAGGAGACCAGCAATCTTTGATACAGACATGTTGAAGAAGTTTTGAGGTAAAAACGCACAGCGTGGGATCGAAGGATCGTAGTATCAAAAGGTGAGTGAAAAAGAATGAAAAGGGGACTTCAGTCAATGAAGTCAAACCCAGAAAAAAGAGAATGAATGGTACTAGACCTTGAAAAGAATGGAATGCAAAGGATGGATGAGAAAAATCAAGTGGCCCTGGATGCGAGGGTCTTATATATGCAGGTCTTCGGCATCATAGCTCCTTTCCAAACAGCAGCACCACTCTGCCAAGATATCCTCATCACAGATATCACTAAGTTCAACGGTGTGTGTCTGGTATGGAACAAGGATTCTATAGTCTGTGGATGCGCCCATAGGTGGAGAATTGTGAGCGACCGAGACAGCCCCATCTTCGAGGTGACAGATAAATGAAGCCTGTGATTTTCAAAGCGCCGGATGCTCCCAAGGCTGCACTAGTAAACAAACGTAATTAAGCTACGCTCTATCAGGAGCAAGAAGGAGCATCAAAGAGGGGCGTCTCACCTTGTGGCATATCTCTAGTTGGTGGCTGTCGATCCTCGGCGGTTGTCTCTGACAGTCCAAGTTTCATCGACCCCTTAAAAATTGACAACTCCGTTCTCAAAAAGTCTTTGCTCTCGGGGAAATCTCGTTAAAATACGATGTTCCAGGGGTCGAGAATTCGAGTTTGTTACCCCACAGTGCTATTCTGACAGGTCAGTCGTCTCTAGTCGACTCCGTAAAGTGTTCCAAGTTCTGAGTTGAAACAGGTACGGAATATATGGCCAAAACAAGCTCCTACAACATACAACTTCAACAGCTATTGCTTTTCAATCCAACTAGCTTCATTTGAATAGACCGTTTGACCGTTTTTCCCTCCAACCCCCAGGGGACTACTCTGCGCTGAGATTCTGAAACATACTCCACCGGCATCATATCCGACTGCATCACAGCCCTCTGAGAGATAGGAGTCCAGGGTTAAAGTCTCGAGCGGTCCATAGGTACATGTATCCAGCGCTGTCAGGTTTGAATTGCACCGTAAATTGCCTAAATCGTAAAGGTGCCAAAACTATGAGCAAATGGTGAAATTAGTCAAGCCACAATAAATCACGTTAGACGCTGACAGCCTGATAATTAGCGGGAAGTTTCGATGCGAGTCTAGCCAGTGTCAGCTGTGCGATTACCTAGGAACTAGATCTTCATATATGCAGGGTCATCACGGCCATTCGCCCCCGGGCTATCTTTGATAAATTCCTTATGGATAGCCAGACCCATCCCACGGTGTACGGAGTGTCCCCCCCTGAGAAAACAGACCATCCACTATCTATGAAAGCTCTCAGCACAGCATTGCTCAAGGTCGCTTGCCATGGCGAGTTCGACGATCACCTGCAAATGCATCATAATGCCACTTGCGTTAGGGCACGCCCACAACTGATAACTAGGCCTGCACACCATCAAGGAGTAGGACACAGCCGCTAGCCGGGGTGCCACAATCTCTCTGCCTTTACGTGACCCGAATTGTCTGTGTGCACTTGGCACAGGCCTCTGTGTTATCCTTATACATGTACGGACTTTTTCTCATTGCAGGTAGTCGGCCCCGGGGATCAATCCGATCAAGTACTCCGTAAGAAGAGGGTCATAAAGTGAGACAAACAGTTGTATCATACAAAGTCTCCAATAATGACGCCACAGAACATATCTCAAAAGAGTCGGACTTGTCAGACGGGAGAATCAGGATCAACAGCAAATCAAATGATCAAATGGATACGGGAAAGGGTGAACGTATGGTGTGTACAGTATTGGTCACCGCCTTGTGAGGCCTGAGGTGTCTATTTTGACAAAAAGGTATAGCTTGGTTTGAGACGTAAACATGTCTGGAAAAAAAGAAGATAATCATTTTCAAATCAAACTTCAATAAATTCAATACTTGATATCTCAGCATAATTATACAGTGGAAGTCGGTGATTTACATTTGTTGAGGTTCTGCCGGCCTGGATGGGTCACAGTTTTCCCGCTCCCCTTTCCAGAACACCCGACGAAGGCAGTGACTTTCCCCTTCAATCTCACCTTTCTCAGGGCCATGGTATCGGAGACTGGCCCTGGTTTAAAACGTGATAAGACTTGATTGTCATACTCTCTGGATCCCTATAGCCTCCGAGAATCCCTTTCAACACGCGATTCAACATTATTGCTGTGAAGGTGGCGGGTTAACAGTTGAACTCGACTACGATTTACAAGCAAATAAACGAAGCATGGGATCAGCGCAGGCACCCTTTTCGCCCTCATTTGCCGCCCTGGATCCTATTATCATGGACGACGACATGGAGTCGACCTTCCGTAACGCCAACATCGACTTTTTGGACCCCACAAAACTCGAGATGTCAACTGAAAATGCTGGGGGAGACTTTGACGACCTATTCGCTCGAGCCACAACTTCCCGTCCGAATGGCGCATCAGGGCCTTCGAAGCCATACCAAGACCAAAACCCCCTGAGGCAGGTGCCGACTCTTGCTGCGGACTCGCCAGCCGAATCGCCAGATGATTCGGGTCGCAGTTCTTCCTCCGAATCGCCACGGAATCACCTGCGACAAACGTCGGTCGCTTCGACAAACTCCGCAGCGCATAGCGACAATCCGTTGGCTTCTACTAGTTACCCGGCGGAGGACTGGATGCGCCCAGAATTATCGTCAGTCAAGGAGGAATCACCGTTCAATATCGACCCCTCCTTTCCTATGGACAGTGGTTTCTCCATGGATCCGGATCTGGAGGTCAGCAACAAAGCGATGGACGCAGCCTTCGATTTTGAAAGCGCAGCGAGTAGTCCTAGTCCATTGAAAACGGACAATGGGTCACTCCCGAGACCCCAGAAGCGCTCAAAATCCCAGCTCTGGAGTCCTTCGAGCAACCACGCTACGCTGGCGTCGGTCGATGCTGTGCCTTCGGTGGGTCTTTCAAACGGCATCCTTGTTTTCCGCACAATGCTAACAAATCATAGGTCCATGCCCCCGGGTCTCCGTTCTTCGCTTTTGGACTCAATGGCCAATCGCCATACTCGACTGCAATGCCCCAAGATATGGATAGAGTGGCTCCGCAATGGGGCGGGCACTCTCCTTCGTCACTTCTGGAAGAAAGCTTCGGAGGCATCAACATGAATCGCCAATCACCTCTCCACGCCTCGCTATCACCCGCCATGAACTTCGGCTCGCCCGCATCATACCAATTCCCTGTCAACTTCGCTTCCTCCCCGGCCCAACCTCAAATGAATCCGCACTCTCTACAACCTGTTCTCACTGTGCATCCAACTTCTCTCAAATCTCGCGTTGAGACTCAAATTCCGATCCGATTGACCCTCTCCCCGTTACCTACCGGCATCAAGAAACTCCGTCTTCCCTCGCACACTATCTCGAAACTCAAATTTCTTGCTCCTCCTGCCACCGAACCTACCCGCGATACCCTTCAATTATATACAAGCCTAGTATGCACAAGTGCCATGCAAGACAGAGAAAAGATCAAGCGGGCATTTGCACGGACAAGGGGTGATCATTATCAAGCAACTTCGGATGACGAACGTCCGTTGGATGGGGGTGATGTGAAAATCTGCAGCGGGTGCATACAGCGAGAACGGAAACGTGCGTCACGGAAGAAGCAAAGGAAGCCCGAGGAAGATGAATTGTTTCAAAAGGATGAAGAGAAGCGTGTCATTGTTTTCAACACCAGCGAGATCAAGGAATGGACCGAACCAGCAAAAAACGCCAGCGGTGGCTACGGCGATAGATTATCGGTCCCGCCAGGATCAATGCAAGTGGAACTGCCGATGCGGATTGCATGCTATTGCCGACACCAAAATGAGAAGCTCGGATTCCAGGTTATATTCACTGTGAAGGATCATTTGGACAACGTGGTCGCGCAGGCAATCACAAATTCGATTATGATAACCGATGACCACAAGACGCAAGCTCCATCCGCGCCTGCGCCAACTGGCCCCTCACCATCCCTCGCGGATGGGACACAAGTACCGGGAGTTGGAGTGTTTCCCTCGGGCCAAAACCCCGATAGACAAAATTCTCTCGGTGCACCTCAGTCGCCGACTGATCTGCAGAGTCTTCAACAAAGGTTCAACTCTCAATATCAGCTTACGCCCAGTTCATTCGCGGCTCCGGGCTCAACGAATGGAGGGAATATGCCTCAGGCATCCAGGAGTCTCTCTCGAGGAGCATCCCCATCTGATTTCCAAGGGCCGCAGAGCAAACGACGCAAACATAGCAGTTCTGGAAGGCTTCCATCGGAACTGACGATGACAAGACTCGAGACGCCTCAGTCATCTGGAGCGGCTATGAACAATGCTGCGCAACTTGCGTCTGCTCGTGGATTCGCTTCACCAACTGAACGGCCATTCGTAAACCCATCCTCCATGTCTCAATATGGAAATGGCCCACCAACTCCCAACCAGAACAATGATAACAATCCATTCTTCAACCCGACTCCAGCCCAGCGACAAAGCTTGGATACCCTGGCCGGGGGGCAGTGGCATCAACGCCCAACTCCACCCATCCCAGTCGTCCGGGGACACCAGGTGGCTCGAATCGCAATGGCTTCCATGATTCGAATATTCCCATGGGACTTGGTGCGAGTTCCTCAAGCCAGGTTTGGCCTCCCCTCAACAATACCCCCAATCGATTACCATCAGTGATCCACAAGTTGGTGCCTGCTGAGGGCTCCATCACAGGAGGTACTGAGGTTACGTTGTTGGGCAGCGGGTTTTATCCTGGCATGGAGGTTGTTTTCGGTGATACCTTGGCTACTACAACCACATTCTGGGGTGACAAGTGCCTCAACTGCCTGACCCCTCCTGCTCTTCAACCGGGATTGGTGTCTGTGGTTTTCAAACATGAGCACCCTACTTTCGGGCAAGTCCAGCAGCCTCAGCCCATCATGCCCAAGCAGCAGCTGTTCTTCCGCTATGTGGATGATCGTGAGCTTCAAATGTATCGCTTGGCACTGAATATCCTTGGTCAGAAATTGGGCAGCCAAGCGGATGCATTCCACACCGCGCAACAGATCATGGGAAGCGATCCAAACGCGTTCTTCAATATGCAAGCAGACATGCAAAGTAACGGTAACTCCTCTGGCGGTCAGCAACGCCAAGTACCAGGTCTTGAAAACCAAGGCAAACTCGGCGATCTCGACTCCAAGATGCTGACCTACTTGGAATTTATCGACTTGGACAATAGTCCCCGGTCAGCACGGTATAACTCTCGCAGTGCCACCGGCCAAAGTCTTCTTCACTTTGCGGCATCGTTGGGACTGACCAGATTTGTTGCGGGTCTTTTGGCTCGAGGTGCAAACCCCGATGTGCAAGACAACACGGGCAATGCACCCATGCATCTGGCCGCACTTAATGGTCATGCTCACATTGTTCACCGCTTGCGTCTGACGGGCGCCAATCCCAACACTCGTAGCGTACGAGGCTTCACTGCCGCGGACCTAGCGACAACGCTCCCCGCGCACCAAGCCGCATTGCTTCCATCCCGCCACTACCGATCCCGCAGTGTTGGATCTCTCACATCTCGCCGCCGGCAAAGCAGCTCCGCCTCTCTCAGCTCGATGTGGGAGGTATCTTCCGCCTCTGGGTCTCTTGGTCATGATGTTGATGACTCTGAGGATCTGGATGACTCGGAGGAAACTAGCGATGATTCTGACTCGGAGCCTCTTCAGTTCAGCTCTTCTCGTCGGTCTAGTATGCATCAAGATATCGGTCCGCAAATTATGGACAATAGCGAACAAACTATCGCACCCGGGGATGCTCAGGGCTTTGCCCCGCCAGCACCTCTTGTCGCGTGGCGTGACCAGCTGGCTCTTCAAATCAACCAATTCCAGCAGAGCGTGGCTAATGCCTTCCCCAATCTTCCGGCCCTTCCTCCAATGCCTCCGATGCCTGCAATGCCTGCGATACCTGCGATGCCCGCCCTCCAAGACTACCAAGGACAAGGAATGATGCGACGCATAACCAACCTTGTCCCTCACCGACCTGCTGCTCGGGATGGCTGGTGGGATTACCTGAAGGGCACATCCGCGCCCAATCCCAACCAACCACCTTCGTATGATGAGCTGTTCCCTCACCCCGATGCCACCGATGAGTCCGACATGAAGAAGTCCAGTCTGCTCCGTGCCGCAACAGAGGCAGCCATCGACCAACACTTCGAGGCTCAGAACAGTGCTGCTGCTGCCGCTGCCGCTTCGGCTTCGGCTTCGGCTTCGGCTTCGGCTTCGGCTTCGGCTTCAGCTTCAGCGTCCCGCGCTCAAGTTGAGAAAGACGATATCAAAGATATCACAATCGGGCGCAATGTTATCTCGCGCGAGCAGCAAAAACATCTCCGAGAGCAACAGGCTCGACGAATGAAGGGTCTCGGCAGCGACCGAAACCTATACTTCATCTGGGTAAGTAAACAAACATGTCCACCGGCTTCTTTTCTTCTATCTAGTACACAGCTAACACTGTTTCTACAGATTCCTCTTCTTATTCTCGTTATTTGTGCCTGGGGTCGAAACTACGTTCCTGGGATTTGGCAAGGCGTCACGGACAGCTTTGAATTTGTGAAAGCTCGCTATACACAGCCGGCTGTGGAAATGGGCATTTAGGGCATTTTATTTTTTTCTTTTGTTGTGTTTTTTCTTTCATATATTTCTATGGCGTTGTTCCTGAGCGAGTGAACCTTCCCCTATTATACGACGGACTAACTGTCGGGTTTTTGCCTTTTTTCTGATTTGTGTCCATAATGACGCGGCATGACTATATATATAGAATCCGCATGATTGAGTATAACTATCTTTGCATCGGTGTAATTTCCCAACTTGAACCTTATATGACGCTGTTATAGAGGGCCGCTGCGTCGAAGATCCGCCAGTTTGGTATGCAGTGTGATACCTACATCCCTGATTTTCATATGCATTATGTTGCTCGTCCTGTTAGATTTTCATTTAAATAGAATTCTTTGAACATCTGTTGTCTTCATGTGTCTCTTTAGCCACTTTACTGGTATCACGCATGTACTAAACTACAATCAACGATCTGTGTTTTTCGCAAAACTCCTCGACAGCTTCAACGAACGCATCAAGAGCTGCGGTAGATATGGCGATATTCAAGGTAATTGATCCTCGGTTCTGAACCCAGAACCCTGCATTCACCAGTTCCAGCCAGAAAAGCTGCTTGAGATCCGCAGCCTCAACCGCAGCAACATCATCTCGACAAGTGATCTGTTCCGCGCGAAGTCCTGTCTCGGTGATGTGAACGCACATAAGAGAACCCTGGCCAGTGACGCAGAACTTGGATCCCACAAAGACCCGTTGCAAGCGTTGGCGCAAGTCATCACCTAAAGCATTGAGCGACTGAGCAACTTCAGCCGTATACACTTTACAGAGTCCCGCATACCCAGAGTGTAGCATCAAAGTGTTATTCTGGAATGTGCCAGAGTGTGCCAAAGCCCCGGACGTGAGAGGGTTGAAAACATCCATGATATCTGCTCGGCCACCGAAAGCACCGAATGGCAGGCCTCCGCCCAGATATTTGCCCAAAGTGATAAGATCCGGTGTGACCCCAATCACATCTTTTAGTCCACCCGGTGCCAACCGAGATGTCATCACCTCATCCAGAATCATCAACGCACCTGCTTTCTCGCTCTCCTCGCGGATTGTTCCTAGGAACTCCGGCGATGCGGAAATGAACCCACCAGCCCCCTGAATCCCCTCCAGAATGACGGCGGCAACATCACTATTCTGGGAAAACGCTTCCCGAACGCCTTTAGAATCGTTGTATTGCACTAGCACCCAATCAATTTGGTCGATGTTGTTTTCCGGGATGCCAGCTCCAAATGACAGCACGCTACCATGATATGCTCCGCGGAAGACGATAATCTTACGACGACTAGTGAATTTCCTGGCTGCAGCAAGGCAGTGTATGTTTGCTTCCGTTCCGGAGTTTGTAAATCGAACTCGTTCGAGTCCGAATCGCTTGCACAGCAACGAGGCATATCGCTGCTCATAAACATTCGTTGCTCCAAGACTCAACCCGACATTCTGAATGGTATCTGTCAACACCTTTTGCAGCGTTGGGTGAGAATGGCCATATAACCCGGCGGATAACTCGCCGACTAGATCATAGTATCTGGAAAATAGTGTTAGCCTGCACGTTCTCGAAGTCCAGATTGATGTATTTACTTGTTCCCATCCTCATCCCACAGTTCTTCTCCTTGGCCCTTGCGCATGAAAACTGGAAACGGTGCTGTGTGCAGCAGAGTGCGGGTATTTCCTCCCGGTAAGCTATCGAGTGACAGCCTATGCAGGCGTTGCGATTCAGGGTGGAGCTCGATAAATCGAGTCTCGGCATCGCGGAGAGCTAAGTCCATTTTGATTCGAGTGAGACAGTTGTTCAAGAGTCCACGGGTACGTGGGATGGGAGTCAGTTTATATATACCTGTCACATCCATATGGGCGGGGAAATAGGGCTGATGCCCCCCACGGAATTTATAGATTGTCCGTCTTCCAATATTTATTCTTAAGTCTGCTATATCATGATATCATTATATAGCCACTTTCCCAATGGAGCAAGTCTACATGTTACGGCATTAGGGATAGCTGAGGGGGCATAGCACTAATGAATCCCTTATCATTCCACCAATATCGGGTATATTTAGATCAGAACATCCTTGTATGCAATTTGCAAACCCCTTGAAATGAAAAACATATTGAATAGAGTATCGCATCAGTCGAAAGAATGTGAATTATATAGAAGCATGCATCGATTTTGTCATCTTCGTATTTATCGCGCGCCGTAAAGGGCCCACGCAGTATATGCATGAAAATAAGAAATGATCGTCGCTTTTCAAAAAAAAATCACCTCTCGCAACATCATCATCCTATTAATATTAATAAGTCCACCGTTTCCCCCTTCTGCTTGGGGATAGGCGGGTCATGTCAACCTCTTCCAATGTTGTGCAAATTCTCTCTCTCTATGCTGCCCATTGCCTTATACCTGCGACTCTCCTAATCGCAACAACAAAGAAATCTGTTCTTCGGTATCTGTCGATTCCTTGCTCTATCTTCATTGTATCTCGCGCTATACCAGTGGCCACAGCGCTGGGTCCGGGATTTGTATGGTGTGAATGCGCTCGCCTATTCGTGACCATCATCTTCCAATGCCTAAATCTACTACTCATCAACCCCAAGGATAGTAATGATCTGCCTGGAGGTAGTCAGAGCTTTGTGGCTCGAATATATGCCGCCACTCGGCTCTTCACTGACCCTCGTGGGATCAACACTTCCTGGCAAATAAAGAATGCCCCACCACAGCCAGCATATTATAAACGACGTGATATGAACACGCCTCCTCGGGGTCGCTTTTTGGTTCGCCAGACAGCCATTGCTGTTTGGCAATATTTAGCTCTGGATATCTTTGCTACACTTGCGTTGCAACAAGCTTTAGAGCATGAGAAAAGTGAGATGTTGCCACCAGTGCCTGAATGGCATATCTCGACCGAGCAATGGATTGAACGCATCATCTCAAACCTCATGGCTGGATTTGTGGTGAGCCGAATTCTCATCGACTTCCACCATCGTGCCTTTTCGATCATTGCTGTGGGACTTGGACTGGACTCGCCTGCAAATTGCCCTCCGTTGTACGGGAGAGCACTGGATGCCGATACAGTACGGGGCTTCTGGGGGTAAGCTTGCTCACCGCACATCACTTGGAGAGACAGGATATTATACTGACAACGATTTCGTAGAAAATTCTGGCACCAATTGTTACAAAATCCCCTGACCTCTGTTAGTGCCTTCATCACCCAAGACCTATTTGGTCTAAGGCCAAGATCTTTGTTGCAGCGGTATACGAATGTTTTTGTTGTTTTCCTCTGTTCAGGCGGGCTGCATCTCATCATCGATATTGTGCAGGGAATTCCAGCAAAAGAATCCGGCGCCTTGTTATTTTTCCTCACGGCCCCTCTAGGCCTCATGATCGAAGATGGAACCAAAGCCATTTGGAACTCTTTTTCAAGGTCTACTGGACCAATCACCACAACCCCTAAACCGCTGTGGCAAAGAGCTCTCGGCCTAACATGGTCTATGGCATGGCTGGGTGTCACCTCAACTGGGTTCTTCTACCCACAGATGGTGAGGCCACAAAATCAGGCCCTGGTTCCTTTCTCTGTGGCAGGCCAGATTGGACTACCTCTAGAGGCAGGGATTGTGCTGGTTGGTGGTGCGGTGCTAGCAAAGGTGTTTGAGGTTGAAGTGTGAGGTCATTCGGGTATAGATCCGGCGCCATGCTGGTAGCTAGGTATAGAGTTTTCTTTTGGGATAGATATTAGACAAGAGTAGTTGGCTGTGGCCTTGTGATGTCTTTGTAGTACCTTTCTTATTAGTTTTCTCAGGGATTCTTTTTTGGTGTTATTTATTTCTCTCAGTTTTATAGGTAGATGGCTCAAATAAGCAAAAAAGAGCATAAAATGTGCAGAGTACTGTTATATATATAACCTAGTATATACAATAAACTTGTATTTTGTAGTTTTTAAATATTTCTCTCGACACATAGAGATCAAAACAAAACAAAAAAGCCTTGTAGATCCAAATCTAAAAGCAGCGAGGGATACGCACTAAAATGGAAAACGAGGCCGTGCGTGGCCGCTGTTGACAGCATGGTCTCCCTCACCCCGCAACTTTTCCCCTTAACTCCAGGCGCATTAAAGCTCCTTATGCACCTTGAGTTTTGAGATGTCCTGAAGACAATTGGACACTTCCCGTATTGCGCCCGGGAAATCATGGACCCTTCGCAGGCTTCGAGCAATGTAACGGGTATGACCAACGTGATTAAGACGAATGAAGCTTGCTCTGACCATACAACACAGTTGAATACACAGATCCCTCGGGTTTATTTCCGCTTATCCAACCCGTGATTGAATCAAAGCTCCCCCTAAAAAACCTCCACTGGAAATCGCCAACCCGCCCCGTGCGGTCAATCGAGTCGCTCCGCATCGGCTTCACACCCGCGCAAGAATCAGACGAACGCAAGTCATCGAGCGATACTGTCCATGGCACGGTCGCCCATCGCAGACACCAGATCCCCGGTCTACGACAGACACCATACCTGAAAGTTTATCTCCTCCGATGCGACGACAACGAAACCTACAAAGCGACGGCCCGACGGAACCTTCGCGAATGGATCAAGGCCAACGCGTCTTCCCAAAGCTCGCAGCCGGCAACTACTAGTCAGGAAAAGCACGATGCGTTTGAGTGGCTTATCTTGCACGTGGTACCGGATGGTGACGCTACGGAGAAGGCGGCCACACCTACCTCCAAATGGGGCCGTGGTTCAACTACGGTGCTGGAGAAGGCAAAGGCTGACTTTAATGGGTCGTCTAAGACTGCTGTGGATCGTGTGGCTCAATTGCGTCTTCCGAAGCAGGGGACCAAATCGCCTGAATTGGGCGAGCAATTGGAGGATTTGATTGATAAAATAAAGAACGGGATTCTAGCTTCGTTTGATTTGCGCGTGGCTCAATACGAGGAGGATATAAAGGAGAAAGACTCTCAGCGCAGTTTGCCTGGCTGGAACTTCTGCACGTTCTTCATCCTTAAGGAAGGTCTTGCTAGGGGATTCGAGAATGTGGGCCTCTTCGAAGATGCGCTGGCTGGATACGATGAGCTAGCTGTTGGCTTGGATGCGGCCATTCGAGATCAGCTCGATGGAAGTGGTGACCAACATAGTGGTGCACTCTCGGTCACCAGTAAAAACTGGGCTGAGATAGCCAAAAAGGCATTGGAGACTGGGGCTTCAGATGACAGCGACAGCAATGACGATGATGGGACTCTCTTTTCGGAGCTTCAGCCGAGGGATTTCCCATTCAATTCCAACAAGATATCCTACCGGGAAATGATCCTGGCAAGCGATATCTCTATCTTCGATTTCCGCACATACATCTTCTCTCGTCAACTGACTCTACTACTCCGAGCCGCGAGAGCTCCGTCACTGATCAGCAGCGAATCTGAGGCGGATGCCAACGCGGCGAGATCAGGCAAGAAGCCCGAAAATCTCATTGTGCTAGCTGAGATTTGTGCAAGAGCAACGGAATTTATCGGCTTAGCTGCTCGTACCCTCCGCTATGATCTCGAATGCGGCCTAGCGGAGGTGGTTCATGATAGCAAGACAGATATTATCAACAATCTAGTGTCCTCGTGGGCATTTTCGGCAGCTTTCCAGATCCTGAGTCAAACCTTTACTCCAACACTCATGCTCCCCGAATCCTCTCTGCATGCCGTTGCACAATCGAGTGAAGCCGCCGCTGTCACAATGGCAGATTCCCGTGCCGATGTGCCTCGCCGCTCTAGTTCCCTCATAGTGGGTGCCCGACCCTCCCGGCCAGTGACCCAGGATATCTCCGATAGCGTGGGTTTGATGCAGCGGCGGTCGACTATGGAACACCCTAAGCCCGTGCCTATTCCCACACAGAAGACTGGTTCTGAGCAGCTATCATCCGGGAGAGCGGAATTGCTTCTGCTGGCTCGGCGGTCCCTTGAGGAGATTGCTCGCAGACGGGGCTGGGCTGAGAGCTGGAACAACCTCGGTCTCCTCTTTGATGAGCGCCATCGTTCTGGGGCTAGTGGCCTTACCGAGATCTCATTGGACGGCGATGACACTGAAGAGTCACAGATAGCTTCTGAGGAGAAGCAATCATCGCTTGTAGGCATCAAGCTTTCTGGCCTCAAAGCCGCACTAAAGTCAAAAGATGCCTACCTGTTCCTCTACGAAGATCTCACAGACCGTTTAATCCGCCATCATATGGCAGCCAACCGTGTCAACTCTGTCGAACAGGCCCTAGCCGAAATTGCTATTCTACGATATCGCCGGAAAGACTACGAGTCTGCTGCTTCCTATTTCTATCGGATGGCTCCCTTCTATGGCTCCAAGTACTGGGTTGTTCTAGAAGGAAGCATGTTGGAACTCCACGCGCGATGCCTGAAGGAGCTCAAACGGAACGAGGACTACGTTCGGCTGATGATACGGTTGCTTTCCAAATTTGCTACATATGCGCAGGCGCAATTGTCAGTCAGGCAAAAGTCCGTGGCTGGCTCGATTCCTTCTATTGAACAGGAAATGTTGGACGAACATGTCCGTGGTTTGTTTGAAGCGTCTGGTTCTCTTCAAAAGGACATACCTGCTTCCTTGACAGACTTCTTTGCCGACCTCCGTGTCGACCCGGCCATTCGACTGTATAACAACAAGGATGGATTCCAGATCCAATTGTCCTTGCGATTCATTTTGGGCCAGCAGATTGAGATTGACAATCTCAAGGTTCGACTGGTTAGCGCTAACAGCTCTCAGCATTCTGAGCACTGGATCGAGAGCTCAGCCAAGTTCGTGGTGAAATCATCATCAACCCAGATTTTGATTGACTCCTCGGTGAGTACTCGTAGTATAGCATTCGATACCAATAACTAACTTATATGCAGACAACACTTCAAGGCAAGTACTTCATTGACCGTCTGGAGATGAGGGCTGGCAACCTTGTCTTTAACTTCAACGGCGGGCGAGACTCCAACCTACCAGTTGGCTTCCGGGAAACGGAAGACTCGGAGGAAATTGACGACCAGCCGTACATCTATTGTTACCCTTCGGCCGAAGCCCTGCAGGCGAAGATCGTGTCACCGCATCTTATTAACCTCCAGGCCATGCGGACGCTGGAGCTAGAACTTGACAGCGGACGAAATGATATCAAGAGTGGTACGATCCGTGTCCGGCCAGCTACTGCAGGCCTACGACTTCGCCTTGCAGAAACAGAAGTTGTGGATGGCAAGCTCGAGGTGGATGCCAACCATGAGTCGAGCATTATCGAATTCGGGCAATTGCCGGCGCGGTCATTCATCCGACTGCGTATCCCCTACACTGTAGAGGAGGCATTTTCGACCCTCTCGGCGCGAGCAGAGATCGGGTATGAGACCGAGCAAGGCCGATTCGCTTCCTCGGCGTCATTCACTGTTGTCTCAACGCTACCTATATCGGTCAACGTGCAAGACATTTTCAAGGATGAACTCCTATTCTCGCGTTTCACCATCAGCCCGGCTATGCTGATCCCGCTTCGTATCATGAACTGCAGCCTTCCCAGCTCAGACATTTACGATGTGCAGTCCAGCATCACGGGTCCTGTCGCCCTTGATGTTTTCCCCAAGCAGCCTGCATCTCTTCTTTACAAAATTCGCCACAATGAAGAAAACGCGGCCGTATCAACACCGCGTAGCCTTCAATTGAGTGTTGACTTCACATGTGTCGACGATGAGTGTCTCGATGCAGTCGAAAAGCAGTTCGCTGCTTCTATTGACTCCAGTCCATTCCGCCAGTATGCAGCGCTGCTCACATCGCACATTGTCAGCAGTTTCCGCGCACAGCTATCCACGAATGAGATGGAAGCCATTGGGCTCATTCGAGAGGTAAACATGCTGCCATATCAGACTGTGCGATGGGATGATCTGCTCGGAGTTTTGAAAGTACCAGGCGAAGATGTACGACAGTGGCTCAAGGACTGGCACCAGGTAATAACGAACTCGAGTATATCCACCCAGCTATTTTACTCACATATGAAATAGAACAACTCCACCATCCTCCTCCCCGCACAACCCACCATCCCAACTCGTCGTATCATCATCCCCGTCGACGTCCCCGAGATCCAAGTCGTGCACACAGCCGACCTCCAGCTCCAACCCAAACCCACCACTGACTCAGGGCCCTCCACCCACGCCGCTGTTGGCCAGATGATCACCGCCGAGCTATGTCTCCGCCACACACGGCGCTGGTGTTCTCCAGCGACTTGCGAAAACGCGGATCAGCCTCTCGAATGTTCCTACGAGATCCACGCCAATCCAGACCAGTGGCAAATAGGTGGCCGCCGCCGGGGCAACTTCCTCGCACGGGACGGCGAAATCACCCGCTTCACCGTCCTCCTACTCCCCCAGAAACCAGGCCATCTCCTTCTCCCGGGTCTTGAAATCCGTACCTTCTTCCCCTCGGCACCTCAGCTCCCAACCTCGCCGCCTGCGACTGATGCCGCTGGTTCCATGGCGCCGTCTCGTCGCTCAATCCCTTGTGAGGTTGACTACCGCAACCATGGCGAAACGGTTCTAGTTCTCCCAGATTTGAAGAAGACTACTGTTAGCCTTAGTGCCGCTGGCGGTAATCATGCTGCTGGCGGGGGATCTTGGCTCGTTGATTCGGAGCGGCGGACAGAGGAGGTTCGTTGATATGATAGATCTGTGTAGGGCTTGTGTGGGCGATTGTATGTATAATGAGTAATATATAGGCTCGCTGAGGATACTTTTCTGTATGTAGATCTACGATTCATGAATCCTTTGTTCTTTTGTGGGTTCAATCGTACTACTATGTGTTCCGTAGCGGGCCATCCAGTCATACGCGAAGTAATTGCCTAGTCTGGCGCTGGGCTCATAGTCAAAAGCGTCATCATTGTCGGATTATTACCAGAAACCAGTCCCTAGTGTTGAGGATGATGCTCATGGGTAACGTAAGCCGGAAGGCAGAAGGCAGTCTACGCAGGTACATGTAGCTAGACCAGAAGTGTTACACATTTTGCCTACATCCGCTTTAATATCTTCCCTACTTCATTTCTCAAAACAGTCAAGATGAAAACCATTGGAATTTGCATCCCAACCATTGAAGGCGGGGTCATCGCCCATCAAGAAATCGGACGAGAAGCAGCGCGGCGGGGCATTGCTTACCCTCAAATAGTCACCCACACTCCTGTTTACGGAGACCTGGAACAAGCACTCAAGTCCGGTGACAATCAGTCACTGGTCGAATTGATAGCCGACTCGATCAACCGCACCGCCAAAGCTGGTGCGGAGTTCGCCATCATCAGTGCCAACACTCCACACATCGTTTTCGACGACATTGTGGCCCAGTCAAACATCCCTATTCTTAGTATCCTCGATGTCGCTGCAAATCACTGCAAAGGGCAAGGCTACAAGAACGTTGGAGTACTAGGCACAACCTGGACTGTCAAAAACGGTCTCTATGATGGTCCGCTACAGAAGAGGGGCATGGCTGCGGTCTATGCGTCTGACAATGACCAGGCAATTGTCATGGATGCAATTTTACACGAGTTGATTAGTGGAATCTTCCTGGAAGAGACGAGCAGCGAGTTAGTGCGCATTGCGGAGGAACTTGCTACACGATGTGATGGTATTATCCTTGGATGTACCGAGTTGCCGCTTGTTCTCACAGAACAAAACTGCGGAATCGAAGTTGTTGATACAACACGGCTTCTCTCCCATGCGGCTCTCGATTTTGCGAAAGATTGAGTAATCCAGCTTTATGTCTTGGGCTTCTATCGTTCTGGTCATCCAAAGTCCATATGAATCATTGCTGTCGTTAGGACATAATCTAATCTAAAGTATGTCTATTTGATCTATCTACGTACTCATTGCCTGTAAGGGAAGTCTATCTAAATCAGCTTCTTTCCCCAAAAGACCCCAATGCACCATCCCCTCACCAACTCCCTCGTATATCCCTCCAGCTATGCCTTCCATCCACCAAGCTGCGAAATTCGAGAGAGCAGTACCAACCCGCCCTTCATTGAAGTTACAAACGGCAGCTCCAATATTAACACCGCCTTTCCCCAACCCGTCAGCTGCCTCCAGTGTACTAGCCACAATGCGCTCAGTAATGCGATGTGTCCGCTCATACTCATATAATTGGCGCATTAACATCTTTGCATATGGTAGAAGGAACTGCAATAGGATGAAGACCTGCACAATCATCGTGGCGAGAATCTTATGCAAATATGATCTTGGCTGGGGGCTTATTTTATGATGCGCGCCATCCATATACCCGGGCGGCGGGGCGTAAGTTGTTAACCCAACTTTGACCGGCTCTGGGATATGACGCTGAAGCATAGAAGTTTCCTCATCGGACAAGTCGGAAGGTAAAGCATCAAGAAGATAAACCAGAGCATTAACGTAGAGAGATCGAGCCAGGCGGCCATCAGGCTGTGGCTGCTGGGCTTCATATCCCGCATTGCGGAGAAGATTGAATGCTTCACAGCCAGTCAATAAAACCCATGCAACGAATATTTTATATATCAACTCCCGGAGGACTCACCAGGCACCACTCGATTCCACCGTAGGCCAGACTCGGTCTCGTATTTCGTCGGGGATCCCATTCCCTCTCGGGGGCTATCTGACCCCACGGAGCCGGAGTCGAACGAATCCAAGTCATCGCTGGCCGTGGAAGGCCTTTGGGGCTCGGGTGCTACTGGTGTAGAAAATTGGTTGTGACATAGTAGATGAGGCTCGGATAAAGAGGCCGGTCCACGGCGCTGATCCCCGTTTGACTCGGGCTTGGGCACGGCCCGGGAAGAATATAGGCGGGGCAGTCGACGCCGAATTGATGCCGGGATGGGGAAAATAGCGAGTCCCGGGTACTCCATTGGCAGTGTAATATTGAGATTGACGGTTGACTATTTCCCAGATATATGTAAACTCGTTTGGATTTGGGGGTAAAATCCGAATGGGAAAAAGAAAAACAGACTAAAATAGTTCAACAAAAAAGTCCGGTTTCACATGTCAATACTTCCAAGATTTCTGATATAAGAAATTCGATAAGAAAATCTCCGATCTTTGCCGATAACTTCAAATGCTCAACTTCAGGTTTATAATACTTAAAAACATATTCCTTAACATATCAACTCCTCTGATAGCTCAGCTGGAAGAGCGCAAGACTGTAATTGCTAGGTTCTTCAAAGAACTTGTCATCTTGAGGTCCCTGGTTCGATCCCGGGTCAGAGGAATTTTTTTATTTCGTTTTTATAGAATCGAAGTACCGGCCTACTATAGCGATTTTTGCACTCTTAATCGGATACTCGGTGGACAACAACGTGTATGAAAGTAAGGGGGCATATTTTTCCCAAAATAGAAAAGAGACATGCAACAAAGACAACTGAAAGGGCATTCTAGTAAAATAGAAAGACCCACATCTTGCAGATGCAAGTCAAACTAATATAATCACTAGGAGTCAAGACTTCGAGTCCCCCATGCCTGTCTATTAGCGCCTGGTGTACTCCGTGGTTGCATTTAAATTCCAAGGTTATATCCCAGGATAATAATTAATGAATGTTAATAAATTCAACCAAAATAGTTTGTGGTTTAACTATGCGCTTCGTTCTGTGCACGGCATGTTGATAGCATAGCTACGGGGTATGTTATTTCAAATCCCCAAAATTCTTAGTTCCTGTTTCCCTGGCGAAAGATTCTACTTACGCTTATGGTGATGATATTCAAGTGGCGCTAAGTATAGTGCACTGGTGAACTGCATGCACATATATATATTTGTGCTAGATTGTCACAGTGAATTACGGCGGTCATCGGCGGTAGGATAGGGAGGCAGCCGAGGGAACATGTACGTCACGGAACCGTGGAAGATCACTACAACGGGCCAAATACAATCACCTGCATTGTGGTTCGGACAGCATGTTTTGGAGTATAGACCCAACGCTCCCCAAGAGGGTGGATCGAATACCCTCAGATGACCCGCATGTGAACATTGACAAGACCGGCATTCGAATGCGACAGACAGCGAGCGCTCGCCTGCGATAGACATCCTACCCGAAACTCAATATAGAGTGAATCATTGATATCCAAGACATGATACCTCGTCCTATAAGCAACCATTGGAGGTTATCCAATAGAAATGGGAGGACTACTCCACTCCACACCACAAATCCCGATAATACCCTTTCGGCCCGAGTTACTCAACAATATCCGATATGGTGTAGTGGCTAACATCGCCGTCTCTCACACGGCAGCCGGGGGTTCGATTCCCCCTATCGGAGTTTACCGTGAGATATATTTTTGTGTACAGTGTCTTTTACTTCTAATGTTTTTACTAGAAGCATAGAGAGAAGAAAGTGATTGTGTGCTTGCTGTAAATAAAGAACATGTAATTTTTATAGTTTTGTCCTGCATATAAATGGGAGACTACTCCACTTCATACCGCAGATCCCGATAATATCCTTTCGGCCCGAGTTACTCAACAATATCCGATATGGTGTAGTGGCTAACATCGCCGTCTCTCACACGGCAGCCGGGGGTTCGATTCCCCCTATCGGAGTATATCGTGAGATATCTTTTTGTACGTTGCGTACACAATGTGTCGCCTTCATAATAAGTGTGTGCGTATAGCCAACGTCGGGTGATGGCTGTGCAGGTATTTTTTTTTTCAGATAAAAATATTTTTACTGCAAAAAAATAGCAAACAGTAATAATTCAAATACCGTTACAACGTAATTATTAATGAGGTGGAGTGAGAGGCGAAGGAGAGTATCTATGTAGGAGGCTGAATGAAGGATTCGTACTTTTGCATATCAAATTTTTTTATATGCAGGACAAAACCTTAAATTACATGTTCTTTATTTACAGCACACAATCACTTTCTTCTCTCTATGCTTCTAGTAAAAACATTAGCACAAAAGACACTGTACACAAAAAGATATCACACGATAAACTCCGATAGGGGGAATCGAACCCCCGGCTGCCGTGTGAGAGACGGCGATGTTAGCCACTACACCATATCGGACGGATATATCAAATTACGCTATTAGGTTTAATGTGTTCCTTTGCGGTTTAGCGCTGACAGTCCCTCGTACGCGTGCGTGGTTCTATATAGACCCTTCAACCCCTGCCATCAAACAGCTCCGATTTCCTTTTTCTCTCCCTCCTGCCTACGACTCATAGGCGAGGAATTCTTGCTATTGACCCGGATCACTGAGCTCCTGAGCTCTGCCACCCCCCTTTCCCTGTATGTGACTCGGTCGACTCCTCTCCGAGCCCGCGACTGCAATCTACCACTTTACAGAATAGCCAAACCCCTATCCCACGGGGGTGGGCGAACTCAACCTGAGTCCAGTTAAGGCTTTGTTATTAACCATGGAAAACTGCTCTCCTAAGTTCCTGCCTTATTTTCATCTTAGCTTTCGACTCTAAAACTGTCCATTACCCCACAATACATTCATCCACCGCGATAGTCAAATAAAGACAGAGACTAAACTGCGGAGATGACTAGATAGCCGGGAGCAAACAAGATAGGTCACATGACCTCTAACATGAGTATTCTTTTTAAATGCACAGTAGAATAGGTGTGCTCCTCCAATATGCTTCTGCAAAAGGAATGTGAGGTTCTGTCAAGCTCTTGGTCTCACAGGGCGCGTTGCCGTCAGAGATCCTCTGGGTAGGACTGCCGCTGACTGGGCCAGACAATATGGCCACATAGCTAGATATGAATTCCTTCGGCACCTACCCACTCAGTAACAAATGCCCATGTACGGTGCTTAGCACCCAACTGCTTGAATTCTAACGAACTCTCCTATCCTTTTAGAGTACACTTTTTAATAGGCCTTATACTTCTTTCATTTTTCTTTTCATTTGAATAATATTTTAAAATACTATACTAATCGGGCTGAGTCTAGGCGAAAAAGGTAGCCAATCCATCACTTGAGTGTTGAACGGGGCTCTCCAATCGGGCGCTGAATAATAGACTAATAGACCATGAACCAGGGAAGGGGAATAGTAGATAAAAGACTACAACAAATAAAATATTGAACTGCTTAATATACAAGATGAAAGTGAGAAGACAGAGGAAGAGAAAGAGAACAATAAGAGTGTTAAATTCTGATAAGTGTAATATCCAGCGAATAACTAGCGAGGAATAACCAGAGAATCCCATCTTAGAGCCTCTGTAAACGCCATGTTCTATCTGCTAGTTCCTGAAGAGTCTCTCTATCCAGAGTAATGTCGGTCTCATTTCCAGCTGGCTGCCGTAGGAAAAGAGATTCAAAGGGAATGGTCAGAGAGTCATTGGCCATTACAATTTGTCCATTGACTTTTGAGATTTCGATCTGCTGAGTGCTTTGAACCACTCCATCGATACGCTCCCATCGATCAATCATAAGCCGGGGACGCTTCCTGTCGACCTTGATTGTGACTGTTGTGTTGGCATTGCCTTTGGCTGGGTGCAGCCACCAGTCAACGTCTCGCCGGAGCTTTACGTGAGACTCAGAAACTCCCACCTCTAGGGTCACCGTAGGCTTATCGGAAAAGCCTTGAGGAACTGGAATAGGTCCCCAGCCTTGATCTCCTTCTTTGCCACGGCCCTCCTCCCTGATTGTGGCCCCGGCGTAAAAGCGAACGCAGGCTGCAAGACCCATTTGGGTAATAACGCGGGTCAGCGCCAGGTTGACAAACTGACCGATGTCAGAGTGGATTATTGTGACCATCTTGACAAGCAGAAGATTTGCTGCGATGTCGAAGGAATAGCGATTGGGGAGAGACAGCATAGGGGAATCAAGAATATCAGATTGGATTGAACGGCCAGGGATGTAGAAGAGGACACAATCACTGGGAAGCTCGCCATCTGGAATATTGTAGGTTTGATCAAATGAGTCGCTCGGCTGGTGGACAGAAATGAAGTTAGGAGATTCGGCTTTTAGGAAGGAACGCGTGACTCGACGGGGATAGGTCTGCTTTCTATTCCCCCTTTGGATGGGACGAGATAGCAGGGAATCGTCCTTGATTCCCGGATGGTCAGTTTTCTCCTGAGGAGCAGCTCGTTGCTGGACTTGAGCAATCATAGACTTTTCAAGCCGGCGGATCTCTATATCCATGATCATGCAGAATTGCGTTCCTCCCTCATATTTATACCTTGGTATACTCGAAGGGAGGTCTTCTAAGAAAATTTCCTCATTAGGGAGTTTATATAAGCTGGAAAACATCTTCGTAGTAGTAAATTTCACGGGTATCAGACTGTAGACAGATAACATGGAAAAGTGATGATAGTCTTGAGGTGACAGCTGAAACACGGTCAAAGAGAATTTAGGAAACTAATTTCTTATTGATTGACTATCTATTACATCAGGCAGTTGACTGAATCAGTTAGTCAACTAAGGAAGCTTAGCAATGACGGTATTATTTTCGCAGAAACGTGTAATTGACTGCTAACCTTGGGACGTAACCGGAAAGGGAGCCGCGTATGGAAGCGCGGCTAATTCTATGGGCCACTCGACCCATAGGGCTAGATTTCTGACAGCCCCTAAAGCGGCAGTTACCCAATCATGGCGGCGGGTTTCTGACTACTATGTCTGTGACAAGTAATAAATTATATTAGGCACTAAACGACATAGATCTGGCGGTCTGACGTTGAGAAGATGGTGACGGGACTATATAGAGCCACGCACGGTGAAGTACAAAGGCACGAGATGCGAAACCAGTAGGGTGAAAACAAACCCCACTTAGGTCGTGTAGATGTTGACAGAACAATCTTTCATCTGTTCCCGATATGGTGTAATGGTAGGCGCCTCCTAATTCTAGGTATAGCGTGAACATTGGCGCCATGCTCAGTCAGCCAAAATATCGATGTGGAAACGACACGGTTTTTGAAACTTTGACTATCGTGGCCATTCCACTGAGGCTTCCTTTCACACCATATTGGGCGGTTATAAAGAGCTGTGCTATTATTAGCCTTACATTTTTCGGCTTAGCGTTCTTTATCCACTTGCTTCACCTCGCGTGGTTCTATAAAGCTCTACCTGTTACACTATACGGAAACGCCACGATTCTACCCCGGAAAACTACACACATCGGTGGTTTTTCCGTCGTAAGCTAGACTTATACCATATCGGATGTTGGATGAGATAATTGGCCATCATTGGCTACATAAACCTAATTTAGCGCTCATTGTCTTTGTATGTACCCATTCGTGATTCTATAAGACGACCTTCACCTCTATATGCCCTTGTTTCTCACCCTCACCTCTCCATCTTTATATATCGTGTCATTGCGAGTCCAACGATATAACGCTACCAGCACTATCGATTAATCGTGAATCCCAATGGCTACGCTAGCGTGTTGGAAATGACCTAAAGCACTCTGCTTTCGGGATCTCAACACACCACCCGAAGAACTTTTGGAACCCTTGTTCTGGGTCTTCTCCATACCTCACTCAGTAATGATCTTCAAGCAACGCCTATGGTCTACGAGCATCAAAGGGCCTTGGCGGGTGCCAGAAAGGCAACGAATGTGGCGCAAACAGATATGTCTAGACTGAAACCAATTTTTGGGAAAAGTGATTAAGAGAAATTTGTCTGAAATTTATATTTTATTGAGAAAATTTAAATTCCGAGGTTATTGGAGTAGGATTTAGCCCGATGAGGCTAGGGCAATATCCGACTATTTTACCGCATGATCAAGCGAATTTGTTAATATTATCTAGCCACTTTTCTTTTCTACTGTCCATCTATTTCTATCAATCATTCAAAACACCATGGATACACTAGCACGGATAGACAAACTTCCTGCTGAGCTTCTAGATGTGATCATATCGCACTTGAGAGATCGTGATTTGGCATCTCTATTAGCCTCAAACAGACAGCTATACCACCGGCTTGACCCGATATTCTACGGCAGAGAACATGCCATGGACCTTGCAATGGGCTGGGCGTGCTCGCGTGGAAATCTCGAAGCCATTTGTCGCCTAGTATCTTTAGGTGCATCCCCTAGCGTGGTTGAAGTGCGCACTAGTTCTTCGGGATGTTACCACAAAACATCCACGTTGCATCTGGCAGCAACTAGGAGACAAGTTGAGGCTTTCCGGTACCTGCTTGGTATCGGGGCGCGGATTGATCATCCTGATGTGGATAAGTGGGTTATCCGTCAGTTCATTAGTCGCATTTGCAGCCCCGCACATGATTGGGCTCTGTTGCGCCTCTACCTGGATGCCGGCCTCGACCTTCAGCTTTGTATGGGACACTATCGACACCACCCCCCTTTACCATACCTTTGCTAGGGGTAATCTCCCAATCGGCATCGGCCTCTCCGCTAGATCCGGTGCGCCTTTTACTGGACCGCGGTGGCGACCCTAATGGGATATTCTCCTTCTATCGCAACCGACTAGTGACCCCCCTGACTGTGGCAATTCAGAAGGCCCAGATTGAAGTCCTAGACCTCCTAATCGAGAAAGGAGGAACCATTCATGGACCCCATATTACCCGTCCTGTCCGTCAGCCTTGGCACATTCCTATCATGGCCGCTGCGGCATGTATGTCAAGCCGGGGAACAGCCGTGATCGAGCGATGCTTATATCTTGGCGCAGACATCAACCATTCAACACCGCAAATAGCTGAAAAAGACTACATGGGAAGCAGACGTTACGGATACATAAGTCCTGCGCTTGTCTATGTTGATTCTATTGATAACTGGGACGAACCGACGCATGCCTTACGCCCAGTCGATGGACTCGTATTTCTGGCTAGCCGAGGGGCACTCCTTCAACAACCTATCCCTATTCCAGACCGTGGAGCCCTCGAGCAAATACACAGTGCGCCTTGGGTGCAGTGCTATTGGAACCCTTCCCCAATGTGCTTGGACTTTATCCTCGGGAAGTGGGGGCTAACCAAATTGGCCACGAGTCCAGGTTTTCTCCTGGCTGTGCAGTATCTGCTCCGGCACGCGGTCAGTATTGGCACGCTTTCCGAGTCCCTCGCTTCCTACGACGTTGAAAGTTCGGTTTCTAAGGTCCTACCAGTCCAAGTTTTAGCAGCATGGCAAGGTCTCTTGACCTATGTCCTTGAGGATTTAAAGGTGGACCCAACCATACTATTGAGCCATTATATCCTACAAAAGGGCTTATGCATATGGAATAAGCCCCTACTGGACACTGGCCGAGCCACAATTGAGGGGCTATTGGCGTCGGGGGCCAACATCAATGCCCGCATGGGTGCCGAGGACGGACCAACAGCTTTGCATGCGGTATGCGAAGCATTCAATAAAGAGCTCCTGAATTTGGAAGGAAGATTTCACTCTTTGGAATGGCCGAAGAGGATCGATATACAGGCCACGTATCTTCAGTACTTAACTAGTCGAGGAGCTAATTCTTCCATCCGCATTGGTGGTCAAACAGCCAGTGAGGCTCTCTTAGTGAATCAAACAGATATTCCATTGAAGGTTCGGCAAAAGGTGCTGTCTGTATCCAAAATTATGGAGGAGGGCAATGTAATTCAAAATGCCAGGCTACTGCAAAGCTAAACGATCGAATGTGTTCCGTGAGATACCAATGCAAGAGCCCTTCGATAAATCTTAACGTAAGGTTTTTAAGCCAATATTGGCAATCGAGCTGTGTATGTTATTATATGAAAATAAATCATTTAGTGGAAATTGATAGAAGAAGGATTCAATCTTACCGTTCGAACATGACACGCACGATATGTAGACGTTCCTTTATAGCCCCAGAAAAATCACATTACACCTATAGATCTGGGTTAAGAACGAAGGCATTCCAGTCAAACGCCCTTAGCTGTCTAAGACCCGTGTTTGAAACCGCCAACCGGGTTTTAATTTTTATTTCTTTCCCTTCAATTCTCTGCCCATGATGGATTATTTCAACCATCCAATCGTCTCACCAAATATGTGATTTGCTCATTGATATTGACATTCTTTTCTTTTAATCCCTACTGTAAAACCAACAAAACCACGATGCGCAACTGAGCCCTAGAGTCCTACAAAATGTTCAGTGTTTACTGCATCCACTCTTTTCCTCCCTTACAATGCCTCGCCGTATCTAAGAATGTACGTAGATAATGATTATTAGGTTCTAGGCTCACCATTATTTTGTCTGCACTCTACGTGACCCCGAAAAGATCAAATTTTCCGCACACGAATACGTGGATCCAATACTTCAATGAGAATCTTTTGACGAATGACCTTTCACATTCTCCGCGTACGTCCAATATTTGACTAAGAATATGGAAATTGCCATAGTATCATTGGTAAGCCGAATACAACTTGCAAATCAATACTACTCACTTTTCTCGGTTTTATAGATAGAGGTAGAAAAAAAGGCGGAAAAAGCATACTCTGTGCAAGAGACATTTCTATGTATAACCTTTTGATATGTGATCTAAAGCCAAATACATGGTTGGCCAATATATAAAATAGATGCATTCATTTTTTGGTCTAATTGCCCCAGGCCTTTCGTAAACATGTAGAAGCGTTCTAAAATTTGGTTCCCCAAGCCCATCCTTTGCAAATGCCACGAGACACGACGAAAGCGATTGTGGCCGTAATATAGAGAACACCTCCAAAAATAATTAGCCCATAGAACTCCCCATTGTTGTGCTGCTGAATAGCGCCTGCAATAGGGAGAGCGATGAGGGTGCCAAAGGAGACCAGCGTCCATGTAGTTCCAACTCTCTTTCCATAATCTTGAATTTCGCAGACCTGAGAAATGCAAACAGGTGCAATACTGATAGCCGAACCACTCCAGAAGCCGAACAGCACAGCGTAACTAATGACAATCCCCAAGTTGTTGGGCTCGACTAGATCACCGCAAAGCCAAAGGATGAGGGTGAATAGGGAACACATACAACAATTCACGATCATGACGTTGAACCGACCCATACGGTCAGCCACCAGCCCTGGTAGGAAGCGCCCGAATACAGCACCAAGATTAAGGAAGACAAGAATCGCATATGACAACTGTTCATCGAAGCCGGCATGAAGTGTATAGGAGGTGACGTATGTGATTGGGACGAAAGCGGCAAATTCAGCAAAGAAGACAGCCAGCGTCGCAGATCCGTATTTGATATCTTTGAGGGCCTTAAAGTCGAGGGATGCAATGGCTTTCTTGGGAGGAAGTCTGGTCCGGAGCGTGAGGCATGCAATTGAGCACAGCAATGCACACACGAGAGCGATAATTCGAATTGCCCACGGAAACCCGATGCGAGGCGCCACAAAAAGAATTATCAAGGGAAATATACAACCCCCAGCGCCTCCTGCTGTGCAGGCCACTCCGGTTGCCCAGCCACGTCGAACATTGAACCAATGGCCAACAGCCGCCAACGGAGGCGTGAAAAGCGTGCTAGCTGATATTCCTCCGAGGACACTGAATGACAAAAATATCTGATAATATTCTTGTTGACAGTCAGATTCTATTTCTTCAGGGGTGAGGGCATTCGTGGTGAAGGTATTGCAATATGGGGGACGCGAATAGATATTAGAAACACACCCTGGCTGAAGCTCAGAAATATTAATGAAAGTACTATCCCGATAGAGCCCGGAAGCACCACGTATAGAGGCCCATGGGAATCAAGGATTGCACCTGAAGTTAGAGTTAGTTCAGACTGGATTCGATGTGGCGGGAAAATCCGTACCGAATTGTGCACCTCCTAAGAAAAGGAAGAATGTGTAGGTTCCATAGATCCAGCCGATACTTGACTCCGAATAATCCTTCAGTTGGTGGGTGCTTGTCCAAGGTTGCAGAGCTCCCAGGCTATTTAAAAGTCCCATAGAGGGAATCATGGCACACCAAGCCCCAAGAACGACGGACCACGCCTTCAACCCACCTTCGGGATATTGATCATGGTCTAACTCAACCGATGAGATTTGGGTCAAATCGCGCTCTTTAGAATCGACGCCCTGATGCATTTTAAAGATAATGGGAGGATGGCTGGCTTTCCAAATGAAACAAAGAGAGTAAGTTGAGATATGCTGGCTTCAATATGACCCGCGGCATTGAAGTATATAAATGGAACTAGACGCCTGGATTACCGCGAGCTTAAACCTTGTCAGGTTCTGAGTTTCAATTTTCCGCAAATTTTAAGGGAAAATGCCTTATCTTTGAGAAAACGGCCCCACCAAATGCTTTAACGCAATATGGAAAGATATAGTGTAGTAGTGGGTCTCTATATCTTATATATTAATAATCGGCTTCTGCTGTTGATGGAGTTTGATAGTGTGATTTAGGTTATTGTAAAAAGAAAATTATGATGTCAATTTTACCTGAGCATCTAAATTATTGCGCCTGCATTTCAAGCCTCCAATCAAAAGCATTGCTCCAGCTCTATGTACTCTTAATCAATAACTCAAAGTCGGTACGTTACAAAGGATGGTGTCACTCTATAGAATTCCAGGTTCCAGTGCTTTAATCCAAGTAGCGAGAGACATCCACAAGGCTCATTTGGGCAAACTTACTTCAACTGCGACTTGGTCGTGGCCATGGTTCTCCACTTCTGAGTGTTATCCCTTCGCGCCTTATTTTGAGGACTAGACTCTGCTTGTCATTTGTGTCAGATACAGATTATAATGCCCTATTGTCCCATTTGGCTTTTACATATGTTTGGTGATATCAGCTTTCACCCGACAATTCTATTGAGCGATCTAAATACAAATTGAGACCCTCAAATTCCATGGGAAATTCGATGGCGAAGCCATGGGGAAATATATAAGTGATATCTAGCTATAGAGTAGAATAGGAGATATATTGAGCAATCGAAGGAAGCAAGTCCTGATGAATGGAGTAGGGCTTAGGCTTGGACTGCCTGGATTCCTAGGCTTTGTGTCACCCAAGGAACTGAAATTGAACCAATAATTTTATGTGGCTTTAGCATTTCCTGGCTCATATTTCAATTCAGGTGAGTTCATGCCTGGGAGAAGTATATAAACGGGTTGAAAGAAGTGCAAGTTTGACTAGTATCATTCTCATGACTGAGCTTTCAAGTATCTTTTGTTGCATTACGCGGGGCGACCAAGCTCTAACTTAAAACGTTGATTGATAGATCGTGGAACTCTCCGCACCTTCGAGATGTTGGAAAATGGCAAAGCTGGTTCTGAGCAAGGACGAATAAATATGGCGTGGAGGTCTTGACATTGCAACGAAGACTTACATAAACGTCTTGTTCGCCATGAATTATGTTTGCTATCCTTCCTATTGCATTCCCATTACTTGCACATAACCGAAAGTCCGAGTAACCATGGTCACTTTAACCTCAAATCATGATAACAATCGTCTTGAATCCTCGTTGGTCAGGCCACCCGTATTGTGGGATATTTGTAAGTTTTCCTTCAGAATGCCTCTTCCTCCCTGCTGGGATGGATGGCAGTGACGATTCAGGGAATGCGTTGAATGCAGGGGTAACACGAAGAATTGCGTCAGTCTTGATTTGTATTTCTATAGCTGATATCCTCAGTTATTTTAGCCTCTTATACCAGACTGAACTTCGGAAGGAAGTAGCAAAACGTTATGTATGCGCGATGGGGGTCAAATGGCCACCAAGGCCCCGGGATTGGATCAAATCGTAGGCTTCAGTCAGCGGGAAAGAGCACCAGTAGGTAAAATTAGAATGCCCGTTATACTCGGTTCCGATAGGGTTCATTTATATATCGACAATGGATATTTTTAATCTGATATTCTAACGGTTGATTTACCCGGATAGACGAATTATCCCGTATAGTTCGTGGCGTTTGTTTACGAGGACATACGGAAGTTCCGAGCACGGCGTGGGCCCCTGGGGATGCTAAGTGACTTGAAATGTCTTTGTGATCTCGTATTCGAGATAGTATCTTTTACACATAAAGAAAACGAACGTCCGATATCGCGGAGACAGAGAGATGGATCAGGCTTGGCAGCCCACAACTGTGGAGCCTAACCTAAATAGGATTAGCGTTGTCATCGAAGGGCGCGCCGATTTCATTTTTGATCCATTTTGCTTGGGATCATCCACTCCAAGCCCATTCACTTTGGACTTCCTCGAATCAGCTTCTTGAAGTTTAAGTTATGCAGTGGAAACTCCATGTGCTTCACCATACTTCCTCGTGACGATGATGCTTATCGTAAAAAAAAAGAGCCAAACGGGGTTTGCCCTTGAGCGGTCCATGCCGAATCACCGAGAATCTAGCTGGTGCCCAGCTTCCATTCCAAGGTCACGGAGCTCCCGAACTCCACCCAAACTGATTATTCACCCATCTTTCTACCCCAGACTAAGGTTGTTTCGGTCAATTTTCATCTGACCGACTCTTCCCCTACTTTCCACCGTGTCCTTTATCATTCCATTATTCGGTGAACAGCTGTTCTTTGTGCAGCATTCACCATTGGAATCGCTCACGGCATGGAATATTTTGATTTCGAAGGCGCCTCGTCTGCCCATGGCTCTAATCAACTAGACGACGATGTCGCTTCGATTGATATTGAACTCGACGAAGCTGAACAGGCAGTCAACTTGAATTCGCTGATTCATGATCAGACATTGGAGTTCTCCAACCCGGTACCGGAGCAGTCCGAAGTGAATGCCGGACAACCCATTGACCCCGTCGACCCCGATGGGGTTTACCCCATGTTCCGGGCCCAGGACCCGTGCGACTTTTGTCGGCGAATGGGACTGGACTGTTTCGTGGCAAAGCGCGGTACATTAAACTATGGCTGTACTTGCTGCATCTCTCTTTATCGTGAATGCAGTTTCACTCATGCCAAAACGACGGGCAAGTTCCTCCAGACATTACATAGCGTGTCAGAGAATGCCCACGTTCCTATAGGTAGCCTGACAGGAAAGAAAGCCCTCAAATCAGTTTCATACAACGCATATCCCAATGACCCAGATTCGCGCTCTCAAAAAAGTGGTGCTCGATTCTCGCGCAAGGCAATCAGCATCTTGAAGGGCTGGCTGAGAGACCACAACGAGAACCCGTATCCTACCGAACAAGAGAAAGATGACCTGAAACAAGACACTGGTCTAACTCGGACGCAAATTGCCAATTGGCTCGCCAATGCTAGACGACGCGGCAAAGTTCGTTCGTCGCCTGGGAGTAGTTCTCCCGTTCCAGGAGCTATGGACATCCCCAGGAGGCAATCCGTCAACGTATCCCTCATGACGCCCCTTGAGCGTTGGAAGTACTCTCCCCCCGAAAACGAACCGGCTACAATCAGCGATATTACCCGTGCCCTTGCCAATCCTCCATTCGATCCCTCGCGTCTACCCCGGGCCCCATCGAGTCACGTGAGACCCCGTCGCCCTGGGTCTAGTAACAATGAGTCAAGCCATGCCAGCTCTGAACATATACTGTGCACCGCCTCTGCCAGTAGTTTCGACTCATCAATTTCAGATCTCTCTTTTGCTTCTGCCTTCTCTCATCGATCCTCTCATTCCTTTGGCTCAATGGATCGCAAAGAACGTCGCCGTCGCCGTAAGGCCTCGGTGCCTGTCAATACCCTGGCCCATTCCAAGGCTAAATCAGCTCGTCCTTACCAATGTACCTTCTGTACCGACTCTTTTCCTGCTAAGTATGACTGGCAGCGACACGAGAAGTCCATTCATCTAGTCTTGGACAAATGGACATGCTCCCCTCATGGCGGCGCAATTGAACAAAATGGTATACCGCTTTGTATCTTCTGCTTGGCAGCTCATCCAGACGATGAACACCTAGAAACTCATAACTTCATCAGTTGCCAAGAGAAGACAGTGCAAGAGAGAACATTCTATCGGAAGGATCATCTCAACCAACACCTCCGCTTGATGCACAATGCCAAGTTTCAGCCCTGCATGGAGAAATGGCAAAGCAGCAATACAGATATCAAATCCCGCTGTGGATTCTGTGGCTCCATCTTCCAGACATGGAAAGATCGAGTGGACCATTTGGCCAGTCATTTCAAAAATGGAGCCGCCATGGCTCAATGGCAAGGGGACTGGGGCTTTGACCCACAGATTCAAGCTCGCGTTGAAAACGCCATTCCCCCATACATGATCGACTATGAATGGCGTTCCCCAGATCCATGGGCCACCGAACAATCCAGGGGAGATGGTAGCAAACTTAGTCTTCCTGTTCCCACTGATGTCAATTGCTACCATCGCCTTTCTCTTGAACTCACTACATATATCCATAACCAAAAGTCACAAGGTATTGTTCCATCAGATCAGATGATACAAGCAGAAGCTCGCCGCGTCATCTATGGATGTGACGATCCTTGGAACCAGACCTGCGCAGATAACATTGTTTGGCTGGGTGTCCTCAAGCGTGACTGTGGATTACAAACTCCTGTGCACAACAATAGCATCCAATTTGCTGATTTGGGCATGCAGCCCCCATTCGCCATCAATGGCGGCCTCCGAGCCGCGCCCCGGGAGATCAATGTGCTAGCGCGAACAGTATGCCAAGGTGCTCCAACCCACAGTCCTGCAGTCTCTAGCCCTAGTCTTCGCAGCCACGGCTTCCCTGGCACTGGCTTTTCTTCTGCTGGGCCCAGCCGACCGGGGAGTTTATCAGGCAGTTACGCTGGCAGTGCAGGGATGATGTCAGCTGGTGCAGATCCATCGTACTCTACGGATTGGGCTAGCAGTCTTCCGACCACTGCGTCTATGCCGGGAGAAGGCACAGCTGACCCTTTGGTACAAATGGGATTTGACCCAGAATTCCTCCAACGACTGAATGACAGCTACGGCGAAATAAACCCCGATGATTTGGAAGGCTTGCGTCTAGATGGTGCCGATGGTCCCAAAAATCCGGAACAACAAGGATGGCCAAACAGAGGCTTACTTGGTCAGCCCATGTCACCTTCTCTTATGGGTGAAGTGCCTGCGTCAGATCCGGTTGCTATTTTCAATTCAAAAGTAGGCCACCCTCCTGCGTCGGATGCTACCCATGATGACACACCGGGGTACTTTAGCAATAGCAACTTTTAATGATTGCGATGGCTATTGACTTGCCCCATGCAGCATCATACACGGCAAGGAAAAGTTCAAATTTACGAAATTGTTGGAATATCTGTTGTTTCATAACATGTATTTGAAAGTTTATCAAGTTTTCAACGATACTACAAATCAATTGGTGTTTCCCACTTATCTTTTGAGATCTTAGCTCCATCCAGGCAGCTTCCACACTTCACTCTTGGGTGGTTCAATTTGGAATCTGACCCCCCTAGCTGCCTCGTATACTCTCCCTCACCTAATTCTTTTGATTCATCCTAAAAATTGCGTATCTTGATTTAGTTATCAGCACGTGGCATCCATGATAAGTTCGGGATTTAGGTTTCCGCCGACCCTTCTTCCATGAAACCTGACTTGTGGCTGGTTGACTCACATGCGATGACGACTGAGACCGACAGCCCTTTGATCAGACCAGTGGTATTGATTGCCACTTGTGTGACAGAGTGTCTGACCCAAGTCAGCCATTCCCATAGCCATGGAAACTTTGCACCCAGCATGCACCATTCGTCCCGGATACACTATCTCGGCAACGTGCCGCGGCTGAAAGAATTCCCTGTCTCGGACCTGGGCTTAAGGCTTCTAAGCTTACACATAAGCAGGTGCCAACAGCTTCCTCGGAGATTTATCCTCACAGCACCGCCAAGCTACTTTTTGGGACTACCATCTCCGAAATGGGATGGGTATCTTGAACTGTGAGTCCTTCATTCGCCCGGACTCGCCCTGCTGCTCCCAATCAAGTCCCTTGCTTCAAATAAAAGAAAACCGAGCTAATTCAGAACTTTCCTTCTGCCTATTTCCCGAAAGACCGGCTTGGTTTCCGACAAAAGTATGGAAAGAATATACCTTTGCTTTGCGCCTTTACGAGCTCGGAAGCCAAAGGCTCCCATGAAAATCCTGCATCTAATACGATAGACCTGCATGAAAGATGTCTAGGTGAGATTGAGATGGATATGCCCATGCCACGAGTCTCCCTGGGCCCATATAAAAGGGGGGAATCCGTGAAAAGTATGGGATACCAAGAGCAGGCCATTCAATTTGATATAGACCTCCAGTCTAGTGTCATCTTTCAATATGAAGTTCCCTCTAGGAAGCATGTCCCTCTGGCTTCTATGTCTCGTCCAATGGGCAACTGCAACTACGGTGTTCTTTCCAGTTACCTTGACATGGTCGGAAAGAACCGTCGCAGGAGTGACTAGGCCGGTGATTTCGATGAACGGCCAGTTCCCTGGTCCCCCGCTGCGGATCAACCAGGGTGATAATGTGCAGTTTCTCGTTGACAATCGGTGCCCATTCAATACAACTATACACTTCCATGGTAAGCTCTTGTATGGCTTTTTGTTATTTGGCATACACATACTAACTTGATATCTTCCAGGAATTGAACAGCTAGGAACTCCTTGGTCTGACGGGGTCCCCGGTGTCTCGCAGAGATCCATCAGACCAAACACATCGTTCCTATATAGGTGGACAGCAACCGAGTATGGAGCATACTGGTATCATGCGCATCACCGTGGCTCTCTCGAAGATGGACTTTTTGGACCAATCTACATCACCCCCGCTCCAATGGTAGAAAAACCTTTCAGTCTTATCACAACCGACCCCGCTCAGTTGGCGGCTATGATTCTCGCGGAGAGCGTGACCTGTCCCGTATTGCTTTCCGAGTGGCGTGTTCTCACGTCGGAGGAGATCTGGGCTGCCGAGATGGCCTCTGGCACAGACGCATTCTGTGCTAATGCTTTGCTCATTAACGGCAAAGGGTCCATCACCTGTCTGCCACGTGCCGAGATTGATGCTCTGACAACACCCGTTCAGAAAACGAGCCTGGGTGATGATTTAAGATTAACAGATATGGCGTGAGTAGATTGATCCATCAAGGTCCCATGACTACCTTGATAAACCCTATTAGCAAACTAACTTCATCACTAGATGCTTCCCTCCCAATATCACTGAAACGGTATTCAATTTCCCACACAACTACGCTGCCATCCCCCCAACCATGTTCGAAGGCTGCGTGCCATCCCAAGGTCCTCAAGAAATATTAACTGTCAATGCAGCCCATAAATACGTAAGCTGGGATCTCACCAGCACAGCCAGCCTGCTAGAGCTCACCTTCTCAGTCGACGAGCACGACATGTGGGTATACGCCATAGACGGACGATATATCCAACCAAGAAGGGTCAACGCAGTCACCATCCCAAACTCAAACCGTTACTCAGTTTTGATCCCCCTCACCCAGCCAGCGGGGGACTACGCCGTACGCATGATCAGTGCCAGCATAAACCAGATCCTCAATACCACAGCAATAATGCGATACCATGGCGCGCCCGGACTAACACGCCCATCCAATCCGTGGATCACAATCAACAACCAACCCGCCACGGAAAACACCGTTTTTCTAGACGAGACCCAGGTCGTCCCATTTCCGGCGCTCGTCCCTTCCAACAACATAGCACAAACCTTCTTCCTGAATATCGACCAAGTCGGCAACGCCTTCCGCTGGAGACTCGGTAACACCAGCTACGGTCTCGATCTCGAGGAGGCACAGCCCTTGCTCTTCAACCAGAACTCCATTCCTCAAGATCTGATCATCAGAACGAGGAATAATACCTGGATCGACTTGGTTCTCCAAACAGATACCATCCTCCAGCCCCCGCATCCGATCCACAAGCACTCGAATAAGCATTTTATCATCGGTCAGGGGAATGGCACTTTCACTTGGAGTTCAGTCGCAGAAGCTGTACAGGCTATCCCCGGTAACTTCAATCTGCAGACTCCGCAGTATCGTGACACCTTCCATACGTTGCCGGCTGTCACAGGCCCGACTTGGACGGTTATTCGGTATCATGTTGTCAATCCCGGTGCATTCCTGATGCATTGTCATATTCAGGTTCATCAGAGTGGGGGGATGGTTTTGGCGATGTTGGATGGGGTCGACGTTTGGCCTACTGTCCCGCCGGCCTATTTGATTGATTCTGGGTTTTAGTGGAGTATATATGAGATATGAAAGGAGGTAATAATGTTGGGGGAGTATATAGGTTGGATTTCTAGTGCTATTTTTGGTGTGATGTTTGCTATGGTATTTTCTTGTACGTTGCACAATGTATTGTGTGGGTGTACACAGGGGAATGCCCAATCTTCCAGCGATAGCTGTATGAATGCACTACAAAAATGAAATTATAGTTGAGAATATGATTTCTTTTAGGCATCTTTGATAAGATTATTAAAAACAGCATCAAACAATACGCTGTCGGATCGATAACATGCCGGTATTATTAAGTGGCCAGTATATCAGATGGCTGGAGACATGTTCCACGAGCGCAAGAACCTCGGTGGATAAGAAAAGAAGAGAAGTCCACCATGCCCCACTCAAAGAAGATAATTTTTGATCCCATGCTCAATGGCAGGCAAGTGAGCCCCCACAACCTCAGTGATCTTTTGTCCACCCTTGAAGTACATGAATGTAGGCTTGGTCCGCACACCTAGCTCCAGTGCGACCTCTTCGACCTTATCGATATCCAACTTGTAGAATTTGACTTGGGTGTAGGTGTTGCTCAAATCTTCAAACTGGGGTGCGATGATTTTGCAGGCTGGGCACCATTCGGCGTAACAATCGAGGATGATGGCATCTTCTGAGCCAAGGATCTTCTCTAGGAAGTCGGCTTTGCTGTAGTGAGTGTTAGTTTTGTATCTTTCTGTAAGGAAGAGAAGGGAAGGGGTGGGGGGGTTTACCTTGTGATTTCAGTGATAGGCATGTTGATTAGAAGTGTGTGGATGTATGAAAAGCTGAGAAGGGAAGAATTTATATAGAAGGTGGGTGGGGTGATGTAGAGTGACAATGACCTCATGACGAGAACAACCCTAAGTCTTTTTTTTCTTCTTCTAAATTTAGTTGTTTCACCATCATACTATTATACCTGTTTTTGTTTAAGCTTATCCTTATATTGTTTATGGTGCCATACATTCCAAAGGTACATAAGGCACATGGATGTATATAGATGAAATTAGCGCCACTTTCGTCGACAGCGTGGGGATATGGGTCCACTACATCATCACTATCTACACAGGTAAACATATTACCCAAACAAGTATCTAAAGTCATAACTACTATCTAAATACTTATACATCAAATAGGCAAGTTGTATTCAAATATCTAAACCCAGATTAAAAAAATAAAATAAAAATGAGCCTGAAAAACCAGGAATCTGTGGGGTGATGTTGTTCCGTCCCGGGTTGTATTTAAGATCAGGCTCGGCTGTGCCCCTCTTCACACTTAACACCCTTTTCCCCTCTCTCTCGATCTCTCTCCCCATTTTCATCAAAATGTCGAAGCTTTTCATTGGGTAAGAGCGACACTGAATCTTCCTATGCGCCTGCTAATCTCATTTTCTAGCGGTCTCTCCTGGAACACAGACGACAACAGTCTGCGCCAGCGCTTCGAGGAATTCGGTGTTGTTGAGGATGCTGTGAGTCGCTTTTTACTCCTCCTGATTTGCATTGTGCTAAGACCTTTCTTCTCTAGACCGTCGTCAAGGACCGTGATACTGGCCGCAGCCGTGGTTTCGGTTTCGTCCGTTTCTCTACTGATGATGAGGCTACTGCCGCTATGAACGCCATGAACAACCAGGAGTAAGCAAAACTAATCTTTCCAACATTTCCTCTTTAAGCGACAAGGTCGTGCTGGAATGAGCGGTGCCTGCACGTCGTCCGTTCCAGCGACGTAAACGTGTCTTCCCCCTTGTTAACACAACATATGCTGACAATCACTTCTTTTGTTTCAGGTTCGACGGTCGCCAGATCCGTGTTGACAAGGCTACTGAGCGCGCTGCCGGTGGTGGTGGTCGCGGCGGCTTCGGTGGCGGTGGTTACCGTGGCGGTGGTTACGGCGGCGGCCAGGGCGGCTACGGTGGTGGCCAGGGCGGCTACGGTGGCCAGCAGGGCGGCCAGGGTTACGGTGGCCAAGGTGGCTACGGTGGCCAGGGCGGTTACTAGATGTTCCTGTCACGAAGCTTACGAAGGTCTGGACGTGATTAGCACTTTTTTGCCAAAGGTTGTGACTTATGCTGGGTTGAGGGATAAATTCGGGCCAGTGAGATCTCACTGATCACTTGAACCTGCCCAATACAAAATCGAACTCGTTCAACTAACCTTACCTTTAATCGATAATAAATAATATCGAGCCTTCAGTTTGCGTTCTTGGTTCCTGATCTACATTGTGCGGGTACGTAGGTGGGCCCCGCATTGTATTTGGCATTTCAGGGCTAGATGTAGGGGCTAAAGGTAACCGGCTGGTTTAGTTATATCGACCCTCAGTGTATAATCTAACAGATCTGATATCCAATATTTGATATCTAATCTATCAGAGAGGGTCGATCACTAAGCGAGCGGACCTGAGGTCCAGGACCTGGGGACGAAGTGGAGATATCAAACTCTACGGGCTTGGCATTGTTTCATCTCCTGGTTATGCATGAATAGTATTACTGATTTTGTGTACACAATGGTTTATGAAGTCGAAAGAGCAGAGGCTCGCTAAATGTAAACAGGATCATCAAAACTATCCAAGGGCTATGGCTAAATCAGCAAAAAGGCGCCAAAATGGAAAGAACATTGTAGAAATCATAAAAAATCTCAAACATTTCGCCTGATATCATTCCAGTCGTAGTCGTAAGGTTGGGAAAGTGATGTTTACTCTCCCAGGATCAATCGGTTTGCTCGTCTTCTTCGTATTGCTCTTCTGTTTCGCTTTTTGTATCGGGCTGTGCAGTCTCCATAGCCACATTCAATTGAACGGGAGAGTCGATGGAGCCTGCGGAGGAAGGAGATGACTCTGCAGGTACGGCAAGAGAATCCACAGTGTCATCCAAAAGCAGTTCTGCTTCGTTCTCATGCTGGGGCTGCTCATTGTCTTCAGGCATGCCTGACAGAACAGACGATTCATCAGAGTCAGCTGAGGAAGTAGAGGGCCCTGAAGGCACAGCATGGGAGTCCACAGTGTCATCCAAAAGCAGTTCTGCTTTGTTCTCATGCTGGGGCTGCTCATTGTCTTCAGGCATGTCTGACAGAACAGGCGATTCATCGGAGTCAGCCGAGGAAGTAGAGGGCCTTGAAGGCACAGCAGGGGAGTCCACGGTGTCATCGAAAGGATTGTGTGCATCGCCCTCAGGTTGAGGTTGTGCAGTTTGTGTAGGCCCCGCGGGCTCCAAAGGCACACTGAGAGATTCAATAGGGATAGCAGACAAAGAAGAAGAATCTGCTGCCTCATCGGGCTGTGCCTGATGATTTCCCAGCAGCTGGGGTGGTGCGGTATGCTCTGTAAACTCTGCAGAGAGTGTAGGCTGATCGTGAGAGTCAGGTGAGTCGACCATCAGAGAAGTAGGCTCTGTCATCCCAGACATTGGAATCACCTCGATCTCACTAGCGGCCACGGACTCAGCCGAGGCAGAGTCAACTGAGCTCACATCGCTCGCGCTGACCGAGCTTGCAAGAGAGATCGAAGCAGACACAGATGGAGCCATGCTCAAACTCGGCATAGCCGAGGAGGGTAGGATATCATCCGACAAGGTCTGCGGAAAAGAGCCAAGATGGGAGTAAACGGGGACTTGCTGCTGGCGAGAAACAATAGCAAGGAAAGCAACAAGGACAGTGAGAAGAACCAGGGCAATATTACGCTTATCGGCGGCTAGCACACGAATATAATTGACGAAGAGAGTCGAAAGAGCAACCTCGTGTTCCTTCTTCTTCTCCCGTCCAAACTCGGGCGCATGGTCAATCCGAGCTCCAGCTTCAGGGAAGACCTGTCTGAAAGTTATATCATCAGACTGGAAAGACCCCACATCACTGAGCATACGAGCATGACTCTGCCTAGGCGACTGCAGAATCTCCGGTGATCCCTTATGCCCACCATCAACCAGTGGCGACATCTGCATCTGCATCTGCATTTGCATTTGTGGCATCTGACTCTGAGCCTGCTCCACGACAGCCATCTGCTCCTCTGCAAGCCTTCTCTCCAGACCCCGGCGCACATCAGAAGGCAACCAAAGCCCGACCTCGACATCAACCTTCTCCATATCGCGCCATGCCGCAGCCCATGCGCCAGCGCGCATCAGCCCGTTCGCAGCAAACACCCGAATCTCCCATTTGCGATTACTATCTCCGTGCCGCACATGGGTCCCACAATCGGGGCACTCATCGCCCTGCTCGCCGTCCGTCTCACTCTCTCCGATATCTGAGAAATCCTCCTCAGATCCAGAGCCAGAACCATGGTCCTCTCTACCCACGAAGTGTCCATTCTGCAAGCGCGGTCGTTGCAGCTCGAGACTCTCCAACAGCCGCTCCTCTAGAATGTCGTAAAGGTCCTCCGGGTGTGAGATCAACACGCCACGATCCCGCAGCACGCCCGACCCAACCCGGTCTTGGAGCCGCCGCCAGCGCTTCCAGTATTCTGCCGGGAGCTCGTCTTCCAGGATACCCTGGTTTCTGGGGTCCGATGCTCCAGGCACCGGGATGGACGGCGGGAGGAGGGTACAGTGCAGCAGCACGAGCGGGGCCTCCTTCTTCGGTTTTGGGTGTTTCAATGCATTGGGTGAGTGATACGTTGGTCGTTTCAGTGGTGACGGGCCAGGTGACCGTGAGCGGAGGCCTGGTCGTCGGCGTTGGGGTGTTATATAGTCGTCATCGTCGGCTTCGTCTTCTGTGTGCATCTGCATAGCCCTGACAGAACTCGGTTTTCGAAATGCGGCTTCGCGCTGGCGTATGGTGCGGATGTTAGCGGGAATGTCGTTGAAGTCGCCGAAGCTAGCTTCGGACTCTTCTACTCTGTAGCCGGTTATCTTTTCATGGATGTCCATGTCTGGCATTTGTTTCATCCTGTCGACTGGGTGAATGAGAACGGATGCTGGGATTGAGGATAGCGATGAGCGACTCGATGCTCTGGATTTCAGTTGGTCTAATTCATCGTCCATTTCACGGCCGAAGACGTCACTCGTT